CCTAGACCAGGGGTCTCCAATCTTTGCAACTTTATGACTTGTGGACTTCAACTCCCAGAATTCCTCAGCCAGCATTCTGGGAGTTGAAGTCCACAAGTCGTAAAGTTGCCAAGGTTGGAGATCCCTGCCCTAGACACTCCCTGCCAGGGGAACTGGGACCAGGGAATCTGCCTTCCTTGCAACTGTCATCTTAACTTGATGCTTTGCCCTTTCCAAGCAGATTCCAAACACTTCCTCCTTCCCTTCCAGTGGAGGGCTAGAAAAACTGGATTCACTATGGAGATTCTCCCGTCAACCAGGTCACAGTTGTCCCAAAGATGCTTTTTTTCCCCCAACTGTGGTCTTTCTGGGTTTTCTTTGAAGACGTTTCACTTCTCATCCAAGAAGCTTCTTCAGCTCTGACTGGATGGTGGGGGAATGAAAAGGATTTATACTCCTTGCAGACAGCTGGTCATTTGTATTTTTGGAAGTCACTGAGCCTACCATCCAGTCCAGAGCTGAAGAAGCTTTTTGGATGAGAAGAGAAACGTCTTCCAAAAAAAATAAATAAATAAAATCAGAAAGTCCACAGTTGCCTCTTGGGGAAAAAAGCACCTTTAGGTGCCCCGGATTGAGGAAACGATGATCTTAATAATAATAATCTTTATTGTCATCTTTATTAGTCTAGGGAGATTCTCAATCATCCAGATCACAGATGTCCCAAAGATGGGTTTCCCCCCCCCCCCAAAAAAGGTTACTAGACTTCGGGGGGGGGGGTTTTCCCCTCCCTTGAAAAGTTTCGCTTCTCAACCAAGAAGCTCCTTCAGTTCTAACTCCAGTTCTTCAGTTAGAAGTGAAGAAGCTTCTTTGGATGAGAAGCAAAACGTCTTCAAAAATAAAATAAAAATAAAAATCAGAAAGTCCACAGTTGCCTCTTGGGGAAAAAAAAAGCACCTTTGGGTGCCCCGGATTGGGGAAACGATGATCTTAATAATAATCATCTTTATTATCATCTTTATTGGTCTAGGCTAGGGAGATTCTCAATCATCCAGATCAGTTATCCCAAAGGTGGGATTTCCCCCCCCCACCCAAAAAAAGGTTACTGGACTTTGGGGGGAGGGGTTTCCCCCTTTGAAAAGTTTCGCTTCTCAACCAAGAAGCTTCTTCAGTTCTAACTCCAGTTCTTAGAAGTGAAGAAGCTTCTTGGATGAGAAGCGAAACGTCTTCAAAAAAAAAAAATCAAAAAAATCAAAATCAGAAAGTCCAGTTGCCTCTTGGGAAAAAAAAGCACTTTTGGGTGCCCCGGATTGGGGAAACGATGATCTTAATAATAATCATCTTTATCTAATCATCTAATAATAATCATCATCTTTATTGTCACTGCCCAACACATGCACAATTGGTCTTTCGCATTCAAACACGGGGCTCTCCGAGAAGCCTTAAGTCATGCTGGGGCAGGTTTCAGGGTTTTTTTTCCCTCTGAAAAAGCAGCAGTTTTAGGAACTCCGGGAGAAGAGCCACTGCAAACTCATAGAACAAGCCCAGGCGCCGAACATCTGGCTGGCATCTGCACTGGGGGGGGGGTTGAGATGCGAGAAAGAAACGGGCTGCGGCTCCTTTGGAAGGGAGCGAGGGAGCTCCCGATACAAAGAGAACGTTCGGGACCGCGCCTGCGTCATGCGGGCCCCCGTGATTCCTCCCCCTCCCCTTGTGTGCGCGCACGCGCCCTCAACGCTCTTACTACCCCTCGCGCGCAAGAGCGAGGGAGGGAGGGAGCGAGAGGAGCCGCGCGGGCGAGCGCGCGCTCCACGCCGCCAACTCCTCTTCCAATCAGCGCCCGTGATGAGCAAACAAAAAAAAAAAAAAAAGCGCGGTGCTTTGCAGCCCGAAGTCGGGCAAAAAAAGGGGTGGGGTTGTTGTACCCATCCTTCCCCGGGGCGGTTGTGGCGCGGCTGAGGGAAAGAGAGAGAGAGAGAGAAAGGGAGGGAAAGCAGGCGGGCAAGAAAGCAGCGCGCGGGGGGCCGGAGCCAGACGGGCGCTTCCCCGGGAAGCGGCGGCGGCGGCGGTGGTGGTAGTGACGGCGCCGTCTCGGCTCCCCCTCCTGGCTTCTTTGGAGGCAGCTGAGGCGCTGAGGGGAGGAGGCCCGGGCGGGTCTTTCTCCCGCTGCGGCTTGCCGCCCTCGCCTGTCTGGAGGAAAAGGGGAGGGGGGTCGCAAAGGGGGTGGGAACGGAGGGGGGGCGTAAAGGAGGGGGATGGGCTTTTCGGAGGCGGCGACATTGGGGAAGGCGCCGGCGATCGTTTTTGGGGGGGGGGGGGGGCAGGAGAATGGCTGCGGCCGATGTCGGCCGCCATTTTACGCGCCGCCATTTTCTGGCCCGCTCTGAAGCCGGGGCCGGGCAAGGCTGCTGCGGAGGCGCCCCTAAACCCCTCTGCGGGCCGCCGGGGAGGGGGCCGAGCGGCGCCCGAGCTGAGGTAAAAAAGAATCCCGTTCTTGGAAGAAGAGAAAAGAGCCGGCCGCCATTGAGGCCTGGAGTAGGCCTCGGGGCGCGGCCTGGGCCGGGGCCTAAAGCGGCCTGGCGCCCGCCCGTCCCTCCCGCCGACGTCTCGCCTTTCCGTCTCTCTGTGGCGCTTCCTCAGGATCCTCGCCTCGCCGCGACCGGCGGATGGGCCGCCCCCATTTCTCCCCCCCACCTCCTCACCTTCGCCGGGCGGGCTCGGGCCCGAGCGGGGGTGGAGGCCGGAGGACGCTCGGCCGCCTCGGCTGCCAGTTTTCGGGGCCTGGCATTCGAGGTCCGCCAGATCCGAGGCCTGCACCAATCACAGGCTCGGGCTAGGAAACGGCAGGCGGGCGGGAGCGCGCGCGGCCTTCTCTCTCGCCCGCGCGCGCTCCCTCATTCCCCCCCTCCCTCTTTCTCCCCCCCTACGCCGTCCTCGCGAACAGCCGCCGCCGGAACACGTCACCCAGGCGCGTCGTCCCCTGGGTTGCTTTTCTCAGCCCCCCACCTTTTTTCCTTTGAGGGAGCATGCGCGCGGAGGCGAGTGAAGCTCCGCGGCGCCCGCATCTTTCCCTGAGTCGAAGGGAGGGGTGAGGGGTGGAGAAAGGAAAGCGGGCGAACAAAAGCCAGGAGCGAAAAACACCCGACGGGAGGAAAAAGAGCGGGAGGGCGGCGCACGAGAAACAAACCAACAATAAAAAAAACCACCAAACGCGATTCTGCGGTTATCGTCTCACGACAAGATCATCCCCTGAGGTGGGCGGGCAGATTTCAGGAATCCGCAGAAATTTTTTTTGGGGTTACAATGATTTTCTCTTCCCCTCGATTTTAATAAGAGATTTTTTTTAATAAAAGGAAAGTGGCTGAAGTCCAACTTTGAAATTAACCTTTAATCTTCTCCTAACAAGCCCTGATCTCTTATCGGATTTCTTGTTATTCTTGCAATGAAATTATTCTTGCAATTAAAGTGCCAGTTTCGTTCGGAATCTTGTTTCTCCCGAGCAACGCAAATAGGGTTTATTTTATAAAGCATAAAACACGCAACAGCCTTCAAATGCAAACGGCCAACATTTTATTTAAAGGGACCTGGGAGGGGGGAGAAATTCACCCACAAATAGCAAGATTTACAATCTTTTTGTTAGGTGCGTTTGTAAAATGATGTAAGGGACTGGATTGCATTTTCTAATATTCCCATCATTAGATTCAAGGCCTCGGGAAGGGTGAGAAAAAAAAAGTTTTGTAGGAGCAAAGACCGAGCTCCTTGCTAAGGGCTTCTGTATCTTTAAAACGCAATGCCCTCTTGTTTTTCTGCATTCCAAATTTATGAAGAGCATCACAAACACACAGTGCTAAAGTTTTTGACACTGCTGCTAAAGAGAGAATAACAGTGAAAGGCATACTCTGGGTTTTTAAAACTTTTTGCTGTTAGGGCTCTTTCCCATTTTTTTAGACAAGGTGGACCTCCACAAAGAGCTTTTGTTTGTATGAGCTATAATCGGTATTTACCCTTTATCAAAAATTAAAACTGTACTCCACAAAGCATAATTGATGAGGTTCTACTGTGGTAATGCAAAACAAAGCCCCATTAAGATTAAGATCCTTGGTGGAGCAGCAGACTAAAGTGCTATTAAGTAGCACTTAGCTGCTAGCTGCCTGCAATTACTGCAAGTTCAAATCTCACCAGGCTCAAGGTTGACTCAGCCTTCCATCCTTCCGAGGTAGGTAAAATGAGGACCCGGATTGTGGGGGCAATAAGCCAAGTTTGTGTAGAGGGGGAGGGGCAAAAGCTCTACTAAGCAGGTATATACAAAAAGTATAAAGGCTATTGCTTAACGCATTGTAAGCCGTCCTGAGTCTCCAGAGAAGGGCAGCATATAAATCGAACCAATAAATAATAATACATAAAGATAGTGAGTGGTGCCTCTGGTTCAGTATCTTTTCATTCTGGCATCATCCTTAAAGGTAAAGGTAAAAGTTCCCCTCGCACATATGTGCTAGTAGTTCCTGACTCTAGGGGGCGGTGCTCATCTCCGTTTCAAAGCCGAAGGGCCAGCGTTGTCCGAAGACGTCTCCATGGTCCTGTGGCCGGCATGACTCAATGCCAAAGGCGCACGGAACGCTGTTATCTTCCCACCAAAGGTGGTCCCTCTTTTTCGTTTTTTACGTGCTTTTGAACTGCTAGGATGGCAGAAGCTGGGACAAGTAACGGGAGCTCACCCTGTTATGTGGCACTAGGGATTTGAACCGCTGAACTGCCAACCTTCTGATCAACAAGCTTAGCGTCTTAGCCACCGCATCCCTTTGCATCATCCTTAAAAGGATGCTAGTGACCAGCTATCTGCAAGGAATATAAATCCTTCCATTCCCCTCTATCCTGTCAGAGCTGAATAAGCTGGAATGAGAAGCAAAATCCCTTCAAAGAAAAACCAAGAAACTCCCGTTGCCGCCTGACAAACACCTTTGAATTAACCCAAAGACTTTTGAGGACTACAACTCTGAGGGATAAAGAATAAACAGGCAAAAGTATTTATCTTATAGTTTTATTATACCATAAGACACTTCAGTTTTCTGAAGTTTCTTTTAGTTATATGCATACTGTGGATGAACAAATCTAGAGGGTGTATTAGCAATGAGATGGTTCATTGGCTGGGAACTGTTCTCCCCATAATCAGGAAGAGAAACCGATGCCTTAGGTCTCTGTAAAAGAAAATTAAAATTAAAAGTTATTTAAGGCAGTGTTTCTCTCAACTATGCAATCTTCAAGATAGGACGTTTGACTTAATTCTCCCAATTGAAAAGTCCACAAAAGAAATGAGCTGAGAAAGAGGGCACCGGAACCCTAGCCAGTTGAGTTATGTTAAAGCAAAGTAGACCTACATTATCCAGGCTACAAACATCTGAACAATCATTAAGTGCCATCAAAACTAATTATTTTATGCCATTCCATAGTCGTCTAGACTTTTGCAGCTCAGAACTGGTAAGCCTAAAGCCTAAATCTATGTAGAGGAATTGACTTTCAGCAGGGTGTTTCCTGGACACTGGCATTAGAATAACCTCTGAAAATCTGGGCTTTCCAGCCTAAATAAAATGAACTAATCAGGTCTGTCTCATTATAATCAAGTATTTCTTGATTATGAAAACACTGCCTCCAGGTGCAAATGCTAGTTTAACAATACTACTTTATCCTCCATTTCTGCTCCGTTTTGAACTTATAGCAATCAGAAACACGACCAACACCATAATTGCATTTTTAGATCGCTAGAACGTATCATCACTGATAAATACACAAACAAATGACCAATATACTTGGTATGACCCCGCTTTCTTCTTTAGAGTGATGGTGGGACTTAAGAAAGGAAAGGTTGAAATCCTCTGATTCATTAAATGACAGGATTTCAGTTGGGACACGTTTCATTGACATTTTAGCAGGCAATGAAGCTCTTTAGAAGCTCTTCTGAGAGCTTAAAAAAGATGGACTATAATCCACAAAGTCCATTTGTGTCCTTTTCAATGTAAATATTGGATACAATTCTCTTAAATCAAGTAATCCGTGGTTTAGCAGAAAGGCTGGTCATGGGAACTCTTTTCCGTTTAACTATAAGCAATGCTTTGGCTTATTCTAGTTCAGGGGTCTGCAACCTTAAACATTCAAAGAGCCATTTAGACCCGTTTCCCACAGAAAAGAAAACACCAGGAGCCACAAAACCCTTCCTGGGCCTGACTATTTCTTGAGCGGCCACAAAACTAGCATATGTAGTTGAATTAAATGTTCTGTTTTCTTCTGAAACTTCTTTTCTAGGATTTATCCATGGTTGGCCTACCGGCGAGTTGGAAAGCTCAATAAATCGCATCCCAACAAGTGTCACAAATTAGCAGTTGTGACACATATTTATTTATTTGTTCAACTTGTATGCCGCCTTTCTCCGAAGACTCAAAGCGGCTTACAATGCATTTAAAAACCATATATAAAAACATTAAAAATTAAAACATTAAAAACAAAACCCATTCACACCATTCATGGCCGGATCTCGCCAGATTGCAACAGCGAGATCAACATCAATATTTTGAGTGACAGGGAGCCATAGCAGAGGGGTGAAAGAGCCACATGCGGCTCCAGAGCCGCAGGTTGCTGACCCCTGTTCTAGTTGATAGCAACCTTGTCCAAATCAGGTGAAATTTGACACAAGGGAAGGGTCAATCATGCTACAGTTGGTTACAACCTTATATGATTTTGGTAATCTCACTCAGGTCACATAGTTTGAACTGGGAAGTCATATAAATGCCCATGTTCTTGCCTGAATTCTTACAAGATTCCGGTTATTATTTTTATTATCGCTAATGATTACAGCTTCAATTTTTAATCCACCTCCCTTCCACGGGGTGTTCATGGATGCCATGCAAAAGCCATTAAATTTTGTTTATTTTATATTGATGTTTTAGAATCACTACCTCTTTAGTTCAGCCTGTCTGATTGTCTATTGCTTTTTCTTACTTGATGGTCTAAGTTAGGAGTATCGATTAAATACCAGTGTTTACTGAGGACTGTCTGAACGATTGGAGGCGCCTAGACAAGATCTTGTAGCAACAGGATCCAGAAAACCATGGGCAACATTCTATTTGCGCAATGATGAAAATTATTTCCTTCCCCCAAAAAGCTCTATATACGTCTCCCAAAGCTACTGACTGGTCGCTGGGAAACTACGACAAGTTTGAAGCAGAAATCAGTGGAAACCAAAATCAATTCCTTCATACAAACAAAAGTGGCTTCCGCTGACATCAAGTACACTCTGGAAAATGCCATTTTTGTGCACAGCCAAAATCTGGACATACCGGAAGCTGCCTCATAGGCAGATCTTCAAATTCTTGATCATAATCTGCACTTGGCATCTCATTCACCCAGTGGTTACTCCGGCCAGCTTGGGCAGATGGCACTGCCCTTGGAAGAGGTCTCTGGGGTGAGTAGCTGTCATATGAGAAAATTGAACACAACCATAAAAGCATTCTGTAGCCCTGGAAATGAAAATCTAGGAGTTGTATTCCTGCAAAGCGTTAAGCTAAATGTACACAAATCACATTATGGTTCAATTTACTGTATTGGCCAGGAAATGAAAGCAGATACACAAACAAATACAAAATTTCCACCGTTACTAGTTTTCTCTGCTTATTGGAAAAGAGGGCTGTTTCCGCCTGTTGTATGTGTAGTGATCACAATGTGGAAGTTACTGTGAGGCTGACTTCCCAATAAATATTTTCTTTGAAGTGATTTTCAAGCAAATTGCTGTAGATGGAATAGTGTCACAAAGTGAAATAGCTTCTTTCTGGGTGTGGACTGGGTGTGTATGTGGGTCTATGTCTATATACTGGGTTTATGCTACACACGCGCACAGAGTCCAGATTAAGCCAAGTTGAGTGGATGGTACAGGTAGTCCTCAACACACAACCAGAATTGAGCTTTAAATTTCTGTTGCTAAGTGTTGTGGTCCGCCAGTAGCCTGCGGAGCTGGCAGCGGAGTTGGACAGCGATGAGGCTGAAGAAGAACATGGGCCAGTCCTGGAGGCTGGGGGAGGCCCAGATGAGGGCTCTGCGTCGGAGGCAGAGATGGGGCCAGGGCCATCAGGGAGTGATGTGCGGACTCCGGAGCCTCCAGAGGCTGACAGCAGAGAGGCAGAGGAACAGGAGGAGCCTGTTCCTAGTGCACGCATGAGAAGAGCTCCCAGAAGGCAAGAGCAGCTACAGCAAAGAGGATTACCTATAGTGTATTTCCATCCACTGAAATCAATGCTTAAAATTAGTTGGGACTACACAAGCTTCACTTTTCGAGTGTGAAAGAAAGTTAACAATCTGGATTCAAACCCTGTGATAGAAAACACATTTTTTTTATCACAGGAGGTCATACCTGAATCTATCCTCCTGTTGGTTTTGGACCAAAGGCCTGGGAAATGCCAACATTTGTTTCGGCTGGGCGTCCTGTGCGAGAAAAATCAGAAATGGGAAATAAGCAGATTGCTTTGATTTTGATGATTGTTTTAAACAGAAAAAAAAAGCATTCCAAGATAACAATATTTATGAAAATGAAATAGGTCAAGATTAGGTTGTTGGAGGAAAAATAAAACTGGGGGAAAAAAAGTCAACCATGCATCATTATGGGATCAAAATTGGACATATCACCTTCTAAAAGCTTGCGAAGTATTGTTCCTATTGGACAGGTAGAATCATTATATTTTCTTTTCCATATGAGCCAGATCTTTCTTGCTGTTCCTCTTTTACTAAGAAACCCATTATCATATATTTGGTTTTACTTTCCTAGGCCAGGAGGTGCTATAAAGGTAAAGGTTCCCCTCGCACATATGTGCTAATCGTTCCTAACTCTAGGGGGCGGTGCTCATCTCCGTTTCAAAGACGAAGAGCCAGTGCTGTCCGAAGACGTCTCCGTGGTCACATAGCCGGCATGACTAAATGCCAAAGGTGCACGGAATGCTGTTACCTTCCCACCAAAGGTGGTCCCTATATTTCTACTTGCATTTTTTACATGCTTTCGAACTGCTAGGTTGGCAGAAGCTGGGACAAGTCACGGGAGCTCACCCCGTTACGTGGTGCTAGGGATTCGAACCGCTGAACTGCTGACTTTCTGATCGACAAGCTCAGCATCTTAGCCACTGAGCCACCGCATCCCCAGAGGTGCTGTACTGGGGTGCAAAGGGGTGAGCGTTACTTTAGAGATTTGTATTATTTTTTTAACATCCCATTTATTTATTTATTTATATACATTGCATGTAAATTTATGCCATCTTTTTCAAATAATTATGGGAGCATCAATGACAGGAATTAATCACATCTTGTAGATCAGCGATACGGTATCAATTTCCATTGGAAAGTAAATGGGATGTTTAAAAACAATGAGGCAAGATATGTCTAAAAATAACTATCTACCGTTTTTTGAAAAAGCAAAATAACCCTTTAAAAACCTCATTAAATTAAATACAAAACAAAGCCATAATAACAACAATGAAATAAATTTAAAAGGTATTTGCTTACCAACTGTCTTTGGGGTTTATTTGGGATGACCTGAGCTGGGAGTCTTGCTTGCCTTTCTTGACTTCTGAAAATATTACCAAAATATCAGATTTTAAAAAAACTAATATTAAATGTAAATGTAGCATACCCTTGACGAGGAGAAAAACCTAAGCTAAACTAAGCTAATTTATTTTGTTCAGTTGTGTTCAATTTTTGAAGATTGCCTGGAACGTATCCTTGCAGTTTTCTTGACAAGATTTTTCATAAGAGTTTGCCCTTACCTCCTTCCTAGGGCTGAGAGAAAGTGACTGGCTCAAGGACATCCAGCAGGCTTTGTGCCTAAGGTGAAATTAGAACTCAAAATCTCCTGGCTTCTAGCCTGACATCTTTGCCACTAAAACTGTGGCTAGGATCATATTAAAAATGGATGATCTTAGCTTATTGTAGGGTGCTAAACAAACCATAATTAAACAAACTATGTGTCGGGGTTCTGACGGATGCCCTAATTAAATCATGAGCCTCAAGCCAAGTTTCAAAAGAAATCCAGCCATTTATTAGGAGCTTCATGTCAGCATGTTCCAAGTGAAGCCAACGTAATTTATGACCCAATCTTGACCCTTTTTCCTCCCTCCCCCCCAGGGTGTGTCATCAGTCACATTCGCCAACAGAGCAATTTCACGGGTTGTAGAGATCACTCCCCTCAGGCCACTGTGGGTAACCATGGGAGATAGCCTTGAGAGAGAGATGTCTGGAATGTGCTTTTGTTTTTGGCTGCCATGCTGCTTCGTTGTTTTCCCATCCTGCTTGCCTATGGCAACTCGAGAGCAGGCCAGGGATGCTTTGTGAGTTGACACTATGGCTTAGTATGTTACATAAACACCACCTCTGTGCTGCTCCTAAGCTCTCTCTTCATCGGGATGCTTGTCACTTTTAGTTCAGTGTTACCTATACGTTCACTGATCAGGGCAGGGATTTGGTGGAAATAAATCCTGCCTCAGTCAAAAAATGGTCTTCTCTCTACCCCAAATAAACTCACCTGCTCTTTTTCGGCTGGCTTCTACAGTAGGCAACCCACTGCACTAAGGTGAAGACAACTGTAGACAATGTGACTGCAGGAACCACGATCATCAAAATCAAGTCCAGGGTGCTCCACGGATAGTCACATTTGGGCCCCATGTACCAATAATCTTTCCATTTGTTTCGGTAGGAGGGACACCTGAAGACATAATTTTTTTTATTATTTATTTTTAGTTTGGCAAGCATGTATGAGAAAGCAAGTATAAGTATGAACATAACATATAAACATATAAGTATAAGCAGGTATAAGTATATACATAAGAAACGAGTACGAATAAATGGGACGAGTAGGGCACGGCTGGTAGGCACGCTGGTGCGCTTATGCACCCCCCCTTACAGACCTCTTAGGAATGGGGTGAGGTCCACGGTAGACAGTCTAAGGTTAAAGTTTTGGGGGTTTGGGGAAGAGACCACAGAGTCAGGTAGTGCATTCCAGGCACTGACCACTCTGTTGCTGAAGTCGTATTTTCTTCAATCGAGTTTGGAGCGGTTTACTTTGAGTTTGTATCTATTGTTTGCCCATGTATTATTGTGGTTGAAGCTGAAGTAGTCATTGACAGGTAGGACGTTGTAGCAGACAATTTTGTGTACTAAGCTTAGGTCAGACCATAGGTGGCGTAGTTCAAGTCCAAAATTTTAAGCCTGGTGGCATAAGGCATATTCTGTTGTGAGCAGGGTAGTGAGTCAGTGGTGAAATCCAATTTTTTTTACTACCGGTTCTGTGGGAGTGGCTTGGTGGGCGTGGTTTGGTGGGCATGGCAGGGGAAGGATATTACAAAATCTCCATTCCCACCCCCCTCCAGGGCAAGGATATGCAAAATCCCCATTCCCTCCCCACTCCAGGGGAAGGCTATTGCAAAATCTCCATTCCCACCCCACTCTGGGGCCAGCCAGAGGTGGCATTTGCTGGTTCTCTGAACTACTCAAAATTTCTGCTACTGGTTCTTCGAACTGTTCAAAATTTCTGCTACCGGTTCTCCAGAACCTGTCAGAACCTACTGGATTTCACCCCTGAGTGGAGTACTCATCTCGTGAAATGGAGGAGACCAAAATTGAGAAGCTTTGAACCACTTTCCCTGCAAACCATAGCCTGTATCATGAAGTTGGGTGCTAATCCACCCAGCAACTCTAGGGTTGGGTGCTAGAATCAAGGGCTTCCTTGTGTTCTGGAGTGACATTTGCAAGTAACGTTATCAGCCTCAAACATTCAGGCTGAGTTTGCTTATCAACAAAGGTTCAGGGGTGGGCAACAAAGATGATTCAAGAGCTTGAGGACATGCCTACAAGGACAGGCAGACTAAAATTTGGAAGTCAGATGAAGAGAGAAAAAAAAAAGATTTAGGGGAGAGATGATACTTAAAAAGAAGCTAGAGAGAAGCTAGTCAAGAAAGTGTTTCCATATCTTGGAAACTAGACCAGAAATAACAAATACAAGCAGTGGTGGGATTCAGCCGGTTCGCACCTATTCGAGAGAACCAGTTGTTAACTTTCTAAGCAGTTCAGAGAGCCAGTTGTTGGAAGAAATCTTATTTTGTTTTTTTCCACTTGACAGGGCCAATCCTGTAAGGAAGGCAGGAAGGAAACATTCTGGTGTTGTTTCTAGCCTAATCTTTATTGCCCTGCTTACAGAAACTGCCTCTCCGGTTAACCCTTATTACATTGTAACAGCTAAGGCGAAGCGCCCATCGACGTGAGTGACGTTAAATTGGCCACACCCACATGATCACATGACCACCTAGCCACGCCTACCCAGCTGGTCATTAGGGCAGAGAACCGGTTGTTAAATTATTTGAATCCCAGCACTGAATACAAGTTATGGATAGAGGGAGGGAGGGAGAGGGAGGGGAGAGCACTAGAGTTAGTTTACCAAGAAGGAAAATGTTCAGAATGGAAGTTGTCCCCATGAAGGTTATAAATTCTCCATCTCTGGAGGCTTTTAAGAAGAGGCTGGACTTTGCAAATACAGCCCTCCTCCCTATATTCTCAAAACAAGGAAGTTAACTTACTTACTGGCAATAAGGAACTTTATCTTTACAACTGCAGGCAATCCCTTTAGGGCAAAAACCGACCGTATCACCTACACAGTTATCAAAGTCTGCAACATGGGTGCAATCAGCTGGAAAAGAAGACACAGTTCAATTCAACCGCCGTGTTTCACATTAGTCATCACTGGACTTCCAAGAGCAAATTTCAACTGCATACGTGGATCCCTCACCGGATTCGTGCATTGTGTTAAACCATAATATAGTTTCGTTGTTTTTTTATGTCGTACAGTCTTGTCAGCTTGGCTATTGTCCTTTATAAGCCAGAGGGATGGCTTAGCATGGTAGGAGAACAGAGCTAAGCACGGTTCATTTAACAGCATAGCAAGCCATGCTTAGCTGAATTTTTTTAAAAAAACAACTTTGTTTCTATTGTAAGGAATGTTGGATTAGATCAGTGTCAAATTCAAGGCCCGGGGGCTGGATTTGCCCCATGGGGGACTTAGATTTGGCCGGTGGGGCCTTCCTAGAAACAGCGAAGGACCGGCCCACAGTGCCTCTGCCAGCGAAAACGGGCTCCTGAGCTCCATTTTCGGCTGCACGGCCTCTTGCAGCCCTCCGTTTTCACTGGCAGTGGGTTGCAGGAGGCTGTGGCAGCTGAAAACGGAGCTTGGGAGCTGGCAAAGCGCTTGGCCCACCACAGGCGCCCCAACAGGAGTGATGTCGAGCTGGCCACGCCCATCCCGGCTCCCCGTAGTCAAACACAACCCTGATGTGGCCCTCAATGAAATAAAAGTTTGACACCCTTCAATTAGATGGACTTTTACATGTCTGAACACCCAAATAAGACTTACTGAATAAACAAACAAACTACGACTCACTGCAATATGCAAACCTGGGCCCTTTCAATTATATGAGGAAAAACAAAACGAAAATGTGTTTATTTTTTATCTAGTCTATCTTCCCTTTTCCCAAATTACCAGCAAGTTACTTTTTCCTGACTGGAAAAGAAGAGGATTGGATTGTGTTTTGCGTGATTAACAGCTGACTTGATAAGGGCATTCATTTAATTTTAAATTCTTCTAGAACAGTAATAATAATTCACTTCTAAAACTATGTTTCTGTCCTGGATTGCCAGTAGATAGGAACAATCTCTTTCTGGAAATATCTAAACTCAGCATTCTAAAAAGTCTAATTATCTTTAGCTATGTTCCAGTGGCTAAGACGCTGAGCTTGTTGATCAGAAGGTCGGCAGTTCAGCAGTTCGAATCCCTAGCGTCGCCTAATGGGGTGAGCTCCTGTTACTTGTCCCAGCTTCTGCCAACCTAGTAGTTCGAAAGCACGTAAAAAATGCAAGTCGAAAAATAAGGACCACTTTGGTGGGAAGGTAACAGCGTTCTGTGTGCCTTTGGTCATGCCCGCCACATGACCACGGAGATGTCTTCGGACGATGCTGGCTTTTCGGCTTTGAAACGGAGATGAGCACCGCCCTTAGAGCCAGAAAATGATTAAAGTGCGGGGAACCTTTACCTTTACCTATCTTCCTATGATTGTTAAGACCATAACATATTTTTGAGCCCTCTCAGCCCAAAGACAGAAGTTGGTTCCCGCAGAGGAAAAACTAAAATGTATTTATTTTTCTTGAGTCAGTCAAGATATTTCTATTCCCCTCCCGTTTCTCAGCAATAGTTGGACTTTCAGTCGATGATCCTGGAGAATTTATAATCCTGATTGTAATCTGGTCCCCCCTATCTGTGTGAGAAGGAAGTATGATAGAGGATAATCTGAATCTTGAGTGACACAATCTTTTATCTTTGTCTTCTTTCACAATATTCACATGGCTATTCAATTACAGTATTTTTCGGAGTGTAAGACGCACCGGAGTATAAGACGCAGCTTAATTTTGGGGGAGGAAAATAGGGGTGGGGGAGGAAATCTGCCTACCAGGTATTCATCTGGCTAGCGTCCTTAATCTGGTCAGCTTCAGCACATTAGTTTGCTGGTTTTTTATCCCCTGCTTGGGGATTAAAAAACAGCTTCTAAGGCACAACTGAGAGAAAGCAGCAATGAGAAAAGCAGGCAAAGCACGGGGAGATCGCTTCACTCGGCTAGCGCCTCTTTAAAGCACAGCTGAGAGTCGAGGGAGCAGGCAAAGCTGGGAAAATGCTTCACTCACTAACACCTCATTAGTGCCTCGTTAGGGCTGAAAAAAAGCTTTGAAAAAGCTACATTCGGAGTATAAGACACACCCAAATTTTCAGCCTCTTTTAGGGGGGAAAAAGGTGCATCTTATACTCTGAAAAATATGGTAATCCCCTTTTAGGTTCCCGCGATCATTATTATTGGACTAGGTTTGCACAATAGGCTAAGCTCCAACGAAACTAACCAGGTTTAGCATATTAAGTCTTTTAACTGCACTAGGTAAATTCTATTGTGCAGGCATATCCCTTGAGGTCTATGTTTCGTTTCCAACAGATGAATATAAGATTGCGGATTTTAATCCTAGTCCTTACTACATCCACCTCTTTTAAAAAAAGTCAAGCTCCAAAGGATTCCCCTTGATTCTGACATCTGGAGGATCTTGTTAACCAGAAGTCATCTAAAAGAAGATCCCAAAGGTTTTCTTACGTTTTGCAGCGTTTGCGGTCAGGCAAGTGATGGTTAACAGCAGAAGTAGGGGCAGGTGAAGACTGGATGCCAACATCGTGGAATTCCTTCGAAAAGAAGAGTTTTGATCCTTTTCTGACTTTCTGAAGTTTTCATTCCAATCTGAATAATTTTGATTTACATTAGACCAAAGGCCATGGATTTTGAACTTGCTTTACAGCATCATTCCTGGTTTTTAATTAACTTTTTTTAAAGATAGGTCTTCTTGGATTGGTTCTCAGACCAATATTCATGTAAATAAATGATTAGAAATGGGATCGTAGCATTTCCTAAATATATTGCATATAGGTCAGTGGTGAAATGTAAAATTTGTTACTACCGGTTCTGTGGGTGCGGCTTGGTGGGGGGGTTAATATGACTGAGTGGGCATGGCCAACTTTTTTTTTTTTTTTACTTTTAAAACCATTTTTTCTACAACCTCTTCGGCTGAAGAGGTTGTAAAAAAAATGCTTTTAAAGCTTCTGACGATCCCAGCTGACTTGCCTGATCAGCAGAGGCTTTTTTTTCCTTTTAAAAACATTTTTTCTACAACCTCTTCGGAGGTTGTAGAAAAAATGCTTTTAAAAGCCTCAGATGATCCCAGCTGAGCCGCGCGATCATCAGAGGCTTTTTTTTAACTTTTAAAAGCATTTTTCCAGCCAAAGAGGTTATAGAAAAAATGCTTTTAAAAATAAATTTAAAAAAGCCTCTAATGATTGCACAGCTCAGCTGGGCAATGGGTGGGTGGGGGGGGCAGGGATTTAGGGTAAAATGAGGACCCAGATTGTTGGGGGCAACATGCTGACTCTATAAACCGCTTAGAGAGGGCTGTAAATCACTTTGCTAAATGACTAATTCCCACAACACAGTCAAATTAACTACTAAGACTGTATTACAATCCTTCTTCTCATCCTTACTAGTACCTATGTCTTCCCACTTATGGCTATATCCATGTTGTTTGTATCTTTACAATTTATATTGTTTTTATAGTTTCCTAGTATGATTTGATTGCTTATTAGTATCGTATGACTATTACTAAGTGTTGTATCTTATGATTCTTGATGAATATATTTTATTTTTTCTTTATGTACACTGACAACATATGGACCAGAGACAAATTCCATCACACTTGGCCAATAAAGAATTCAATTCTAATTCTAATTCTAATTCTAATTCTAATTCTAATTCTAATTCTAATTCTAATTCTAATTCTAATTCTAATTAATTCTAATTCTAATTCTAATTAATTCTAATTCTAATTCTAATTCTATTCCACTATGAAGCGGTATATACGGTAAGTCTAAGTGCTATTGCTATTACAGTTTCTTTTCCCCCAATGTTGAATTAAATTTTGTAGGTGGCCTTCCTGGGCATTTTTCTTACCATCCGTTTTTGGGGACATCCGTTAACTTGTGTGGTTCTTGGAAGAAGAGAGAGAGAGAGAGAAAACTCCTAATCAGTCAATTCATAAATCCCTATTTGAGATTTCGAACATTGAGGAGTAGGCTCCAAGTTGGCCTACCTTGAGATCTTCCCACCTTCACCTTGTCTTGATAATTGTTTATAAGGGAAAAAGATGAGCAGAGATTAGATATTGTGATGCTGGCCCCATTATGACTCTTTGCATGATCAGGCTGTTGGGTGACCCCAGCACAAGCTGGGATGGAAGCCAGAAACAGAGACCGTATCTCCAACCTCCATTCTTTGTAAACGGGCAGGAGAAAAGATAACGCGGGGGAAGGTTCGGTAGCGAGAAAAGAAGGCCGCTTCTACTTCTTCTTTTGTCTTCTCTTTTTCTTTTTCTGTCCTTGTCCGACCATCACTCTCTTGAGATGGTGAATGAAGCAGCCCCAGCAGAGGCTCAGCAGCGCTCAAGCCCCTTTGTGGGAAGCGAACGGGCACGCTGCTGCTTCAAACTCTCATTATGGAAGGCAACAGCAACTCCATGAATCGCTTCCGGGTGCGACCAGCTGAGCCGCAGGACTGTCCTCATATCATGCGACTCATTAGAGTAAGAGAGAAGATGATGATGGGGTCGAATGGGGTCTTAACCAGGGGTGAAATGCTACCAGTTCAGACCGGTTCTCCCGAACCAGTAGTAAGAAATGCTACCTGTTCGGGCGAACTGGTATTTCTAACAATCAGCTGGGCGACGATCAGCTCTGACCCGCAATTTATATTAGCTAGAATCATCAGATTTCCTGCTTTCTAGCTAATCTAAATTGCTGTTGTGACCCAGGCCCAAGTAGGTATTATAAGACGCAATCAGTTCCAAAACAAACAGACTTTATTAGAACAGCTGAGAATTAACTCATTCTCAGCGTAGTCCAAACTAATTCAAAACAAATTCTTCATAACACAATTCTTCAGCCTTATCACCAACCTTGGTCTAATTAGGCAACCTGCCAAAGGCTTTTCTTGGCAAAAGTTCAGAAGCAGAAGATGCCGACAAGAAATAAATGCAGCAGGACAAGAAACAAATCTATCAACGTTGTTTTCCGACAAAGAGCCCAAGAGCCATTGCTGGTCTTTTAAGCCTTATGGGAGGGGCCAATCATTTCTTGGCCTTACTCCCGAGTCGTCCTTTTTGCTTTAGCTGTTCTTGCCTTCTGGCAGCTCTTCTCATGCGTGCACTAGGAACAGGCTCCTCCTGTTCCTCTGCCTCTCTGCTGTCAGCCTCTGGAGGCTCCGGAGTCTGCACATCACTCCCAGATGGTCCTGGCCCCATCTCTGCCTCCAATGCAGAGCCCTCATCTGGGCCTTCCCCAGCCTCCAGGACTGGCCCATGTTCTTCCTCAGCCTCCTCACTGTCTGACTCCGCTGCCAGCTCCGCAGGCTGCTGGCAGATCACAACAATTGCGTGGCACAGCGAATTCCCCCCCTCTCGCTGTTCTACTTACCTTTGCAGACTCGGAAGGCTTCAAAATGTTCCTTTTTTAGCACTGTGCGGGCGTGCCTCAGGCGCGCATGTGCATGCAAAGCACGCACTCGGTAGCAGTCTCACAGAACCGGTAGCAGACTTTAGAGGATTTTACCACTGGTCTTAACCTATCAACTGTTGAGAAGTCCAAACAAATAACATTATTTTTTTTATCCCAGTGACATTCTGGTTTTCTTCTCTTGGCAGGAACTGGCTGCTTATGAAAACATGCCCGAAGCAGTAAAAATAACAGAAACAGGTAAAAACAGCAGCTTTGAGAGTATTATACAGCTGGTCCTTGACTTACAACCTTTCATTTAGTGACTGTTCAGAGTTGCAATGCACAGAAAAAAGTGACTTACGACCATTTTTCACGCTCCCGACCTTTTCAGCATCCTCGTGGTCACGTGATTGAAATTTGGATGCTTGGCAACCGGTTCATATTTATGACGGTTGCCGTGTCCCCGGGGATCATGGGATCCCTTTTTGAGATCTTCTGACCAGCAAAGTCAACGGGGAAAGCCAGATTCACTTTACGATCTAACTTAACGACTGCAGTGATTCGCTTAACAATGGGGGCAAGAAAGGCCATAAAATGGAGCAAAATTAACCTAACATTTAAAGCTTGACAATTGTGTCACTTAACGATGGAAATTTTGGGGCTCAGTTGTGGTCATACATCAAGGACAACCTGTAATTTCTACACTGAAAAAGTTCATCATCAGCTTGAAGACAAGGAAGCATGTACCCTTCCCCCCCCCTCTTCTGGGAACCTCCCTGCCTCCCCCCCTCTAATGCACTTCCACTCCCACCTCCCTTCTTTTTTAGAACAATTCGACAACAGTATGTGGCATATTCAAATTGCTCTCATGGTGACATCTTAATCATCCCAAAATTTCTCTGGGCTGGCTGGAGAGAGACGCAAAACAGCTGGGGGCAAAACAGGGCTTCCTCTGCAGGCTGTTGGATGTCTTGTAAAGATGGAGAGGAAGAGATGGGGCCTTCCTTGGGAAAAGGGGAAGTAGGATGGTGACAAGAGGGAAAAGGGACTGGACAGAGAAAATGCACCACTGGTATCCGTGTGTGTGTGTGTGTGTGTGTGTGTGTGTAAGAGGATGGGAGTAAAATCTTAAGAACATTGGGAATCTGTCTCTCTCCTATCATCCATCCATCCAACCACCCACCATTGTGTAATTTATTGCTTTCTCTCCATAATCTATCATCTATCTATCTATCCATCCATCCATCCATCCATCCATCTATCTATCTATCATCTATCATCTCCGAGCCGAGGTGGCGCAGTGGTTAGGGTGCAGTACTGCAGCTACTTCAGCTGACTGCTAGTTTAGCAGATCAGCGGATCAAATCTCACCGGCTCAAGGTTGACTCAGCCTTCCATCCTTCCGAGGTGGGTAAAATGAGGACCCAGATTGTTGGGGGCAATATGCTATTTAGTATATTGTCTTTGGTGTAAGCCACCCAGAGTCCTGGGAGAGTGGGCGGCATAGAAATATGAATAATAAATAAAATACAATAAATCTCTCATCTATCTATCTATCTATCTATCTATCTATCTATCTATCATCTCTCTCTCTCTCTATCATCTATCTAATCTATCATCTCTCTCATCTATCTATCTATCATCTACACAAGGTGTTGAAAAGGGTCTCACTCAACCCTCATGTGGCCCTGATTAAAATCTTCCCTTGGTCTCAAAGATGACATTCCTTCCATGGGCCTATTCCAATCCCCAAAGATTTTTTTTTTTTAAAGCAAGAGGTGTATTTTATTCCTAATTAAAAAAACAAGATAGCAAGAAAAAAAAGCTTCTAGCTTACCTTTACCCCCTAATATTCTAAATAACTGCATGCCTTTATTTCTATCCCCTAATAATATTTTACATAACTGCATGTTTTTCAGTTCTATCTGGATTCCTGGAGGACAATTCCTATTAATTTTACTAAGTGATCTGTTATTTGCAGGTCCTAAAGACCAAAAGGGACATGGTGGCTCAGTGGCTAAGACACTGAACTTGTCGATTGAAAAGTTGGCAGTTCAGCGGTTCGAATCCCTAGCGCCGCGTAACGGGGCGAGCTCCCATGACTTGTCCCAGTTTCTGCCAACCTAGCAGTTCGAAAGCACGTAAAAACTGCAAGTAGAAAAATAGGGACCACCTTTGGTGGGAAGGGAACAGCGTTCCGTGCGCCTTTTGTGTTTAATCATGCCGGCCACATGACCACGGAGATGTCTTCGGACAGTGCTGGCTCTTCGGCTTTGAAACAGAGATGAGCACCGCCCCCTAGAGTCGAGAACGACTAGCACATATGTGTGAGGGGAACCTTTACCTTTACCTTTACCTTTAAAGACCAAAAAATTAATACAAAGCTGTTAGAACAGGAGTGTCCAACCTTGGCAACTTTTAAGACTTGTGGACTTCGATCCTCCAACCAGCATGGACAAAAGGGGATCTCCCTGGCTGGCTGAGGAATTCAGGGAGTTGAAATCCACAAGTCTTAAAAGTTGCCAAGGTTGGATACTCTTGCTTTAAGATCTTTAAAGCATGTGAACAGTAGTGGCTAAAATTGTGGAAACCTTTTGGGAAAAGTGTATTTTCTAAAACTAGCTAATAACACCACTTTTTTTTGGAGTTGTTCCATAACATTATATATCAATGGAAAGATAATTTAATCAAGAACGTAACGCAATAACTATTCCCAGGCCATTCCAGCAGTGGAATATGATTATCTTGAATCTCCCCCCCAAAAGTGGTGTTATTAGCCATCAAACCTCAAAAATACTTTCCCAAAAGGTTTCCACAATTTTGACCACTACTGTATTTTTACTTGTCTTCCCGTGGAAGCAAAGTCTAACCATTCTCTATCATTTTAATTCCGAAGAGTTAACCCTCCATTCTGGTGAAAACAGACAAAATCTGCTTAAGGGGAGTCAGTTTGGGGGCCAATGGTGATCCTCTCGTTTGTAATTTTCATGTAGTATTTCTTACCCTTCATTCAATGGCTTGAACATTTTTCAGATTTACTTCGAGATGGTTTTGGAACACGTCCCTTCTTCCAATGTTTAGTAGCAGAGGTATCATCGGAAAATGTAATGTTAGGTAAGCCAAATATATATATATTAGCTGGTGAAATGAGTCTTGCAGGATGAAAACTACCTGTTCAGGCCTTAGAAATTAGAAATCTAAGAAATTCAACAGGCTTCTTCTCGTCCACTGGAGGTTTTTAAGAAGAGTTTGGACAATCATTTGTCTGAAATGGTATAAGGTCTCCTGCTTGCGCAGGGGGTTGGACTAGAAGACCTCCAAGGTCCCTTCCAACTCTGTTATTCTGTAAGATGCTGAATATGGAAATGCACAGGGGTGGGCTTCAAAAATTTTAGCAAGGGGTTCTGTGTCCTGTTGCTGGGTTGGCATGGCCATGATAGGCGTGGCCTAGTCGGCCTCCTGCACCATGGGGTGGGGGGCGTTTTTGCCCTTCCCAGGCTCCGGAGGTTTTCTTCGAGCCTCCGGGAGGGTGAAAACGGCCTCCCAAAGCTCTGATGGCCCTCTGGAGGCTGGAAATGGGCCTGTTTCCAGCCTTCCCAAACTTCCGGTAGGCCCGTTTTGTGCCCTCCCCGAGTCTCCACTCGTGCCCTGCACTTACCTGCATCCAAAACGGGCCTCTCCTGGGAGAGGCAGGGTGGGGTGGGAGGGGCCAGCCAGGAGTGGGATTTAGCTAGAGGTTCTCCCGAACTCCTGCGAACCCCCAGCAGCCCACTCCTGAAAATACACGGAAAAAGCCACATATTCCAAAAATGTAACGAAGGAGGGCTAAGGGCATAAGAGATTTTAAAAAACGGGTTAATTAAAAAGACTGCTTCTCCATAGTTCGATTTTACTCCAAAGTCACAATCTCGCCTAATGATTTGCACAAAATCATTTTGTTAGCATCCCTAACAAAATCCAGACTAAGATCCCCAATTGCCTTGATCTCTTAGGTACCTTAAAAGTAATATTTGTATCCATCAAGGGAAATCACCAAATTTTGCCTAAAATCATGAGTTAGGGGAGACGAGATGAGGGTTCTCTTTGAGAGTGGTCTCACAAGGATTACTGGTATTGATTTGAAGGACTTTTTAATCTGAAAAGTCAAATCAATTAAAAGATAATTTGAGGATTCCGGGGATACTATGGTGCCATCCCAGCACATTTAGTGAACTTACTTTATTAAATTTTTATGCCACCTCCCCAAGTGGTGAAATTCATTTTTTTTTACTACCAGTTCTGTGGGAGTAGCTTGGTGGGCGTGGTGCGGCTTGGTGAGCGTGGTAGGGGAAGGATACTGCAAAATCTCCATTCCCACCCCACTCCAGGGGAAGGATACTGCAAAATCCCCATTCCTGGGGGAAGGATATTGCAAAATCTCCATTCCCACCCCACTCTGGGGCCAGCCAGAGGTGGTATTTGTCGGTTCTCCAAACTACTCAAAATTTCTGCTACCGGTTCTCCAGAACCTGTCAGAACCTGCTGGATTTCACCCTTAACCACCTACCATATTTTAAATAGCTGCCTGTAATTATCTGGTTTTGAATCCCAAATATAAAACACCCCTTTTAAAAAATAACATCAACACATTTCTTTTTCCATTAAGAACCTCCCTTTGTTCAGCCCAGAAATAGAATGGCTGGCTGTGTTTTACTTCTGCCTACCTCCTTTTGCTTAATTTTCTCAACGGCGGCGTGTAGGATAAAAAGGCAGGGGGAAAAAAAATCAATTGATTTTCAGAGGTGCTCATGATAATGCAGAGGCTCATTCTGACATTTTCCTGCTGCTTCTGAGCCCGAGGTGAACCGAGTGTCAAAGACAATTAGTGGCAAGGCAACAGTAATTGTGAAAGGAGCTGTGCTTTCATACACACAAATTCGTTACTCCCACCGAGTGCATGAAGGTCTATGACAATTCTCTGCGGCCAATTCGTTGCAGGTCAACTCAGTGCGGGACGAGAGTTACAGTAATATCAAATAAATGGTGGAATAGAATCATTACAAAAAGCATGCAAAAGGAGGGACAGAATGAAATCTGAAAGGCAAAAATTAAAATATTTTTTTTAAAATTTTAACTAATGAAATAGAATTGTTAAATCGTTCCACAGCAAGTTGGTCGTGGTGAGGTGTCCAGTGGCAAGTTGTCCATCATGAATTATCCTGTTCCACCTTTTGCTTATTTGTACCCTATGACTATCATTAAGTGTTGTACCTTATGATTCTTAACGAATCTATCTTTTCTTTTTATGTACGCTGAGAGCAGATGCACCAAAGACAAATTCCTTGTGTGTCCAATCACACTTGGCCAATAAAGAATTCTATTCTATTCCATTCCATTCCATTCCGTATTTTCTTTATTCTGTTGTTCTGTTCTGTTCTGTTCTGTTCTGTTCTGTTCTGTTCTGTTCTGTTCTATTCTATTCTATTCCGTATTTTCTCTATTCTATTCTATTCTATTCTATTCTATTCTATTCTATTCTATTCCATTCCATTCCATTCCATTCCATTCCATTCCATTCCATTCGTAAATCTAAATGAGGACCCAGATTGTTAGAGGGGAATATGCTGACTCTGTAAACCGCTTAGAGAGGCTGTAAAGCACTGTGAAGGGGTATATACAGTGGGGCAAAAAAGTATTTAGTCAGCCACCAATTGTGCAGGTTCTCCCATTTAAAAAGATGAGAGGCCTGTAATTGTCATCATAGGTAGACCTCAACTAGGAGAGACAAAATGAGAAAACAAATCCAGACAATCACATTGTCTGATTTGGACAGAATTTATTTGCAAATTATGGTGGAAAATAAGTATCTCCATGGAAACTCTTTCTGGATGTGTGTTGGGAACCTAAAACCAACCGTCAACTGAATCTAACAGAGATAATAGATTTCAGTAAGAGATATCCTGTTACCAACATGGAAGCAACTCTGCAAGAAGCAGTAGCAATAGCAATAGCACTTAGACTTATATGCCGCTTCCAGTGCTTTACATCCCTCTAAGTGGTTTACAGACTCAGCATATTGCCAACAATCTGGGTCCTCATTTTACCAACCTTGGAAGGATGGAAGGTTGAGTCAACCGTGAGCCGGTGGGACCCCTGTTCCAAACTCTCAACATTTTTGAACAATGGGCATTTAGCAACTGATGATGGCTACTGGAAGTCATAGTTTAGTAAAACCTGAGAGCCCTTAATGCTCTGACCTCTACTTTGAAGACCATGTAAGGAATCTAACTTCTGGTTGCTTTTCAATATGGGATATGTTTGATCAATGGTTAGACAAAAAGAGTGGAAATTAAGAGGATGAAAGGTTACCGATAGGTATAAGTAAATGATGTAAGACTTTTATTATATATAAGCAAACGTATTATTATTATTATGATTATCATTACTAGTATTTTAGTAATATCTTGTATAAGTAGATTGATCCAGACAACAGTTTACTAAGCGTTTATGTATTTTCAAGAAGAAGAAAAAGTATAAAATGAATGAATGATACGTATTTATATGAAATAAATATGATCTGTTGTGGCTTGACACCTCCTGCCCCACGATGGCCTGTTTCCCAATTCAGTATAAAATGCAATCACTCGGTGAGGTATTCATTTATTGGTCCATTTTTACGGTCCTTATCAAAATGCAGTTAGATAAGCAATTACGTTAAATCTTCATACGTCCCCTTTTTCTCCAAGGAGCACTTCGATCACAAGAGCTGTCACATTAAGTTGACAAAATTAAAAGAAACTGAACCAGATTTCTTTAGTCGCTCGATAGCCTTACCTTTTTTCATTTTGGGGATATAATTCCTTAAAAGCGATGCCTCTTCTTTTTTCCCCCCACAGATGCAGCTATTGTAGCTTTTGCTATGTATTACTTTACATACGACCCTTGGATTGGCAAGCTGTTATACTTAGAAGACTTTTATGTTATGGACGAATATAGAGGTAACTTTTACCAACCATGTTTCCTTGTTGCCCGTTTCTAATACAGCCAGAAAATGGAAGAATCACCAGGTGGAATTAGGACATTGTGATGGGCCTGGAAAATAGCCAGGTTTTGATACACATTCATTTCCCCACCCTGTCTTTATTATATTCAGAATTCTCTCTTGGCTAAAAAGGTAGAATACAGGTAGCTCTCGGCTTACAAGTTCGTTTAGTGATCATTCAAATTACAATGTCAGGGTTCTGACAGATACCCTAATTAAATCATGAGCCTTGAGCCAAGCTTCAAAAGAAATCCAGTTATTTATTAGGAGCTTCATGTCTGCACGTTCCCAAGTGAAGCCAGCTCTGACCCTACGTAATTTACAGGAAACATAATTCTGTTTCCTCCCACCCCACTCAGGGTGTGTCACCAATCACATTCACGCAGGTTGTAGAGGTCACTCCCCACTGGCCACTGTGGGTAACTCTGGGATACAGCCTTGACAGAGATAAGTCTGGAATGTCCATCTGTCTTTGGCTGCCGTGCCATTTCGCCGGTTTCCCATCCGCCCTGGCCTATGGCAACTCGAGAACAGGCCAGGGATGCTTTGTATGAGTTAACATACAAAACACTGAAAAAAAAAGACTTATGACAGTTTTTCACACAACCGTTGCAACATCCCCATGGTCACATGGTCAAAATTCAAAGGCTTGGCAGCTGATTCATATTTATGATGGTGGCAGTGACCTCAGGTCCGATTTTGCGACCTTCTGACCAGCAAAGTTCAATGGGGAAGCCATATTAATTTACTGACAACTGCAATGATTCTCTTAACAACTGTGGCAAGGAAGCTTGTAAAATGGGGCAAAACTCACTTAACTAATGTCTCTTAGCAGCAGAAATATTGGCCTCGACTGCGGCTGTGAGGACTACCTGTATATAAAACAGGACTCCTGGCACTCAGTTTTGAGGCAAGTCCTGAATTGAGACAGGATCCTGGAAGTTAAACATACAGATGAACACAGTTGGAAGGGACCTTGTAGGTCATCTAGTCCAACCTTCCGTCCAAGCAGAAGACCTTACACCATTTCTGACATATGGCATTCCAATCTCTTCTTGAAAGCCTCCAGTGATGAAGCTCCCACAACTTCTGAAGGCAACTTCTGTTCCATTGGTTGATTGTTCTCACTGTCAGCAAATTTCTCCTTATTTCCAGGTTGAATCTCTCCTTGATCAGATTCCATCCATTATTCCTTGTCTGGCCTTCTGGTGCTTTGGAAAATAGTTTGACCCCCTCCTCTCTGTGGCAGCCCCTCAAATATTGAAACACTGCTATCATGTCTCCTCTGGTCCTTCTCTTCACTAGACTAGCCATGCCCAGTTCCTGCAACCGTTCATTGTATGTTTTAGCCTCCAGTCCCCTAATCATCTTGGTTGCTCTGTCCTCCCTCTTTGCTTTATTTATTTCTACCCGGCCTTTATTATTTTTACAAATAACTCAAACACATCTAACACACCTATTTCCTTCTATTTTCCCCACAACTGTGAACTGGGTTAGTCTGAGAATGAGTGACTGGCCTAAAGTCACCCAGCTGGTCTTTCATGGCTAAGGCGGGACGTGAACTCCTAGAATGCAAGCTATTCCTGCATTCTAACCTGGTTGCTTAATCGCTAATCCGCCCCTCTGCTTTGGGATGAATCACTTCTAAGTGACCCATGAGGTGGTGAAATTGCAGGAAATGTGGTTGCTTGCATCCCGTACCCAACTGGGGTGATGGGTTTTTAAAACATGTTGAACAATCCGAGTTTATCTAGATTTTGTGAATCCAATAATGTGTTACTATCCAATATCGCAGTGTTTCCCAACCTCAGCAGCTTGAAGTCTACCCATCTTCAAGTCGCCAAGGTGAGAAACAAGGCAATATAAGTTCATTGTGCAAATAAGGTAAAGGTAAAGGTTCCCCTTGTACATATGTGCTAGTTGTTCCCGACTCTAGGGGGCGGTACTCATCTCCGTTTCAAAGCTGAAGAGCCAGCACTGCCCGAAGACGTCTCCGTGGTCATGTGGCTGGCATGACTCAACGCCATAGGCGCATGGAACGCTGTTACCTTCCCACCAAAGGTGGTCCCTATTTTTCTACTTGCATTTTTACGTGCTTTCAAACTGCTAGGTTGGCAGAAGCTGGGACAAGTAATGGGAGCTCACCCCTGTCAGCACTTCAAGCTGCATTTACTCTAGTGCTGACATAAGAAGGAAGCGGAGGCATCTGGAAAGGGACGTTTGACTTTTCACCTACTTATTTTCCCTGGAGATAATATCCCCTAGGAGATGGGATGGGAGGGGGAAAATTCCTTTGAGCTGGAGCAGTAGACTAGGGGTAGAATGACTTGGAAGATGGCCAATGAGTGCAGGGGAGTGGGGAACAGAAAGGGAGGGTTTTGGGTCTGGAAGTCAGTGTTGGCTTCGATGGAGTCGGATTTAGAATGTCGTGCTTAATAAATAGTTTTTCTTCAAAGACTTTGTTTGAAATGCAATTTATTTGAGACGACCTCGAAACCTGACAACCCCGTTATACGGCACTAGGGATACGAATGGCTGAACTACCAACCTTTCGATCGACAAGCTCAGCGTCTTAGCCACCCTAACTCAACCTGATCTAATGGTGGATTGGTGCCATCCATATAGATGCAGCCAAGCAGTTACAATTTTTTCTTTCTTTCAAAAGATCTGAAGCTAAAAACGGTTTAAAAAAAAAAAGAGATTGGTAGAATAAAAGCCTTTGCTTACCATACAGATAATTCTACGGGTTAGAACAAAACAATGGATAATTTCCAATTCTGCGTTTCAACTGCGTTTCTTAACTGTGTTTTGGCAGGCTGGGGCATTGGAACGGAACTTCTAAAAAATTTAAGTCAGGCAAGTAACCATTTAAGACTTTTAAGTTATATTTTAAATGTTATGCTCATCGTTTTCATTGGATAACTCTAATTATTGCTAAAGAGCTAGCAGAAAAGTAAAAAATAAATAAATAAATAAAAAATAAAGAGCTACAGCAGCTTTCTCAAAATGGGATTCTTTTTACCCGAGTTGGTGGCTAAAATTTCCATCATTCCTCAGTCCAAATCGCCATTTTTAGGAAGGGATATTAAATTTAGAGGAGCATCCGTGGTTGCAGTCTTTAAATCCACAAAAGGGCCCATAGGATCAGGGCTTGTCTGTAGGGTCAAAATAGCCAAGATGACAATGGAGTCCACCGCCTTAAATTTTTTGACCTCTCTCATAAATGGAGTTTATTTCAGGGGTGAAATGCTCCCGGTTCAGACCGGATCGCCGGATCCGGAAGCGATGGAGGCTGGTGGTTCGGAGAACCGGTAGCAAAAATCCCTGCCCCCCACCATGCTCAGCTGAGCCTTGCGATCATCAGAGGCTTTTTTTTTTACTTTTAAAAGCATTTTTTCTACAACTTCTTTGGCCGGAAAAATGCTTTTAAAAATAAAAAGAAAGCCTCTGATGATCGCGCGGCTCAGCTGGGATCGTCAGAGCCTTTTAAAAGCATTTTTTCTACAACCTCTTCGCCGAAGTTGTAGAAAAAATGCTTTTAAAAGTTTTTTTTTTAAAAAAGTTGGCCACACCCACTCAGTCACATTACCCTCCCTACCAAGCCAAATTTTACATTTCACCACTGGTTTATTTCCAGCCAGTGGCTAAAACTGCTTATGAATTCTTAAGATTGCAAAGAGAGGTTTTCGTGACTGAATGTTCCTTTACATTTATTTATTGTTCGTATTTCCCAATTTGATGTGCAATATTGCTGCCATTAAGAGAGAGAAAAAATTATAGCTCCGTTGCAATGAGCTATAGATGCATGCATGAAAAATGCAACAATTTTTATACGTACAAACATTCAAATCTTAACAAAACGTTTAATGACTTGATCTCCTTCTGGTCAACTTGCTTTGCCCAGATAGCTTTAGAGCAATTATTTCTCCACCTTGGCCACTTGAGTTGCCTGGGGAATTCTGGGAATTGAAGTCCATTTAGAGCACAAAAGAATTCAAAAACATATACCTCCGGTTTTGTGGAAGCAGTTCTGCATGCTTGATACAATTACATGGTAGTCCTTGACTTACGTTCATTTAGTCACTGTTCAAAGCTACAATGGCACTGAAAAAAAGTGACTTATGACCGTCACTTCCAGAATTCCTCCGCCAGCAAAGTTGGCAACTTTAACACTTGTGGATTTTAACTTCCAGAATTGGGACTTCAACTTCCAGAATTGTGGACTTCAACTCTTCAAGCTGGCTGAGGAATTCTGTGAAGGAAGTTGAGAGTCCACAATTCTGAACTGAAGCTGAAGTCCCAATTCTGGAAGTTGAAGTCTTCAACTCCACAGAGTTCCTCAGCCAGCAAAGTTGGCAACTTTTTAACACTTGTGGATTTCAACTTCCAGAATTGGGACTTCAACTTCCAGAACTGTGGACTTCAACTCTTCAAGCTGGCTGAGGAATTCTGGAAGTTGAAGTCCACAAATCTTAAAATTGCCAACTTTGCTGGCTGAGGAATTCTGGGAGTTGAAGTCTCAATACTGGGAGTTGAAGTCCACAAGTCTTAAAGTGGCCAAGGTTGGAGACCCCTGTGCTGTGGTGGATTCTGCTGAATTGCACTGCGAACGTCTTTGCGTTTGCTCTCAAATGCAATCCTCTGCTTGAACAGATCGCCCTGGAGGCCAACTGCAGCTGCATGCACTTTCTCGTCGTGGTTTGGAATAAGCCGTCGATCGAGTACTACATGAGGCACGGGGCATCCGATCTCTCCACCGAAGAGGGATGGCATCTTTTCCGATTCGATAAAGAGCACCTCCTCAGAATGGCTAGGGAGTAACAAGGGAGTCTGTCTGTCTGTCTCTCTCTCCAAGGTTGGCGTACCGTCGGCTCATCAGTCACAAGGAAACCTCTAGCTAAAATTGAGGCTCTCTAAAGCAGGCAAATACTAGCAATAAGAAATTAAAAAAGAAGCTTGCTTGTTTTATGACTGGCAGTAGCTCGATACGTGATTTGATTCTGGTGTTTTTCCATTAGCAAGCTTGTTTTTAGTGTGACACAAAACTCCCTCCAATATTTGGTTAATAAGTATCATATTTTTCAGAGTATAAGATGCTCCGGAGTATAAGACGGACGTTATGGGAGGAAAACAAGAAAAAAAAAAAATCTGCCTCTGCTTACCAGCATCCACCTGTATTCATTTGGCTAGCGTCCTTGCAGCAAACAGCCTGGTCAGCTTCAGCACATTATCGCAGCCTGATTCAGCACGAACAGCTGATTGGTGGTTGGATTGGCCTCTTGGAATATCGCTAATCAGCTGTTCCAGGCTGCAGGGATCGCCACCGCCCATCGCTGTCTCCGTGAGTCGTGTTTTTGGCCTCCGCATGCACCGTTTTTGGCCTCCGTGCGTCGCATTTTCGGCCGGTTCCAGGCGGCGAGGATCGGCAGCAACAGTAGCGATCCCCACCACCCGGAATTGGCTGAAAACGCGATGCACAGAAGCCAAAAATGGCCAAAGGGTGGAGGCCGGCAGGTGGGCGGGGCTTCGGCAACATTCACTGTATAAGACGCACAGACATTTTGACCCAATTTTACGTGGGGGGGGGGAGTACGTCTTATACTCCGAAAAGTATGGTACATACCGTGTTTCCCTGAAAATAAGCCGTCCCCCGAAAATATTTAACCACATACGCAGACAGTCCCCACCATTTACTCTGGTTAGGGTTAGGGAGACAGAGTTGGAAATCAGGTAAGAGAGCAAGAGGAGACCCATCTCTCTCCACGCGCCCCAAAATAATAAGACCTCCCTGAAAATAAGGCCAAGCACTTATTTCAGGGTTCAAAAAAATAAAATAAAACAGGATCTTATTTTCGGGGAAACACGGTACATTGGCACAACCAACTCTCTTGGTTGTTGAGGGCTCCTTGACTAAAGTCAGAAGTTCATTAACATCTACACTTGTAGTCAAGGCTTTCTACAGGTTAGAGATGTTGGGTCTCTCTAAAGTATAGCAGTGCCGGATGAAAAGCCATGTGTGAATCGGAGGAGGAGTAGAAACATGCCAGAATGTTTACTGGCCTGTCTAACTTAATCTGTCAGGCCGACATAACCGCTTTCATTAAGACATTCCATGGATTGCTAAAACGCTTAGATTGTTTTAATAAGTGGAGGTAGGACAAATTGTTGTGGTCCACCGGCAGCCTGCGGAGCTGGCAGCGGAGTCAGACAGTGAGGAGGCTGAGGAAGAACATGGGCCAGTCCTGAAGGCTGGGGAAGGCCCAGATGAGGGCTCTGCGTCAGAGGCAGAGATGGGGCCAGGGCCATCGGGGAGTGATATGCGGACTCCGGAGCCTCCAGAGGCTGACAGCAGAGAGGTAGAGGAACAGGAGAAGCCTGTTCCTACTGCACGCATGAGAAGAGCTGCCAGAAGGCAAGAGCAGCTAAAGCAAAGAGGACGACTCGGGAGTAAGGCCAAGAGATGATTGGCCCTTCCCATAAGGCTTAAAAGACCAGCAACGGCTCTTGGGCTCTGTGTCAGAAAACAATGTTGATAGATTTGTTTCTTGTCTTGCTGCATTTATTTCTTGTCGGCATCTTATGCTTCTGAACTTTTGCCAAGAAAAGCCTTTGGCAGGTTGCCATAGTATACCAAGGTTGGTGATAAGGCTGAAGAATTGTGTTATGAAGAATTTGTTTTGAATTAGTTTTTTTTTTAATTTGATTTATATGCCGCCCTTCTCCGGAGTCTCAGGGCGGCTTACAATGTGTTAAACAATAGTCTTCATACTTAGTTTGGACTACGCTGAGAATGAGTTAATTCTCAGCTGTTCTAATAAAATCTGTTTGTTTAGAACTGATTGCGTCTGATAATACCTACTTGGGCCTAGGTCACAACACAACCGTATGCCTTATCAGTGGGCACGCCAGCTCAGCTCTGGTGTGTATGTGCACGCCGGCCAGCTGATTTTCGGGCCTTCTGGGCCCACCAGAAGTAGGGAAACAGTCTGTTTCCTGCCTCCGAAGGGCCTGGGAGTGGGTGGGGAAGGCCCATTTTTCTTTCTCACCTGGCTCCAGATCCTCTCTGTGCATCTGGGGAGGGCAAAAACAGCCTTTCCCACTCCCTCGGAGGCCCTCCTGAGGCCTGAAACGGCCCATTTCCCAACTCCCGGTGGGACAGGAAGTGATGTTTTTTGCTTTCCTCAGCCTCCAGAGACTCCTAGAGAGGCTCCCCCCCCCCCACTCCTGGCACGCGATGGAAAAAAGGTTAGCCATCACTGGTCTAATCTCTTCTTACAAACCTCTAGTGATGGAGCGCCCACGATTTCTGGAGGCAAGCTGTTCCACTGGTTAATTGTCGTCACTGTTAGGACAGTTCTCTTTTAATTCCAGGTTGCTTCTCTCTTTGATCAATTTCCAACTATTGTTTCTTGTCCTGCCTTCTGGTGCTTTGGAGAATAAATGGGTCCCCTCTTCTTTGTGGCAGCTCCTCAAATACTGGAATACTGCTATCATGTCGCCCCTAATTCTTCTTTTCTTTAGACTAGCCAAGCCCAAATCCTGCAGCCATTCTTCATATGTTTTAGTCTCCAGGCTTTTGATATTGCACACAGGATGCGCAATAATATGTGTGGGAAACATAGCGGTGTGCTTATACTCATTAAAGTCATTCGCACAGAACTATATCTTTTTATCTTTTATGGATTTTTTTAAAAAATTTGATTTATATGCCGCCCTTCTCTGGAGACTCAGGGCGGCTTACAATGCGTTAAGCAATAGCCTTCATATTCTTGTATATTTATACAAAGTCAGCTTATTGCCCCCACAAACTGGGTCCTCATTTAACCTACCTTAGAAAGGATGGAAGGCTGAGTCAACCTTGAGCCTGGTAAGATTCAAACCTGCAGAAATTGCAGGCAGCTGTGTTCATAACAGGGTGCATTAAACCACTGTACTACCAAGGCTCTTTGGATTGAAAGTTGCACCATCAATTCTACAAACTTAAACATCCCTGGTCCTCATCTTTCTGCAGATTAGTAAAACAGCCACAGTTTTTGATTAGCCCAGGGATTAGAAAGAAATGCAAAACAAAATGTGGTTTAAATTCTCTATATTATTATCATATTATTATTAATATTATTATTATTATTATTATTATTGTTGTTGTTGTTGTTGTTGTTGTTGTTGTTGTTATTATTATTGCTGCAGCTTTTGATTAGAAGCAGTGTGGTATCCTTTTGTTATTTACACTATTCACTAATTCGGCAGCGAGGATCTCTCTTGAGAAGCTTCTTGGGCTTTTTACACCCAGAGACCAATTATGCTTTCAACCGGTTAAAAATACGACGTGGCACTAACGAGTAGAAAAAAGATTTTAAGGATTGCACGAGAAAATTGGCAAGAGAACAAGAGTTAAGAAGCTACCTGACTCCGTTATCACCATGCAGACCGTGAGCAAATAGCACAGGGCTTCCAACCTGTTTTTAAAGTCCCATGAGAAAAACTGGAGGGTATTAGCTTCTTTTACTATACAGATCTGCATCTTCCGGGCTGGCCTGCCCATAGTCCATGAGGCTTGCATCTGCTTTAAACTTGGGCGCCTTCAATACATCTGCCAAAAATACACGAAGATGTCAGAGTATGAATATTCACGGACTGGAATAGATCAGCCAATGGGGACTGAATGGAGACATGGTAACAAGGTCAGCCAATGAATAGGCATAGCAACTAAGTCAGCCAATTGGGAACTGAGACAGACTGGAGCCAAGACGTGCCTTAGTCTACAGCTTCTGAGTCTGTGCAGAGAACTGAAACTGAAACTAAGCAGTCTGTGCATGCTGTCTGCTCTGCTGAAATGAAACTAACTGTTCTCTCCTGCCTTGTGTTCTGCCTGTAACTTCTACCATGTTGAAGAATCAACAATTGGTATTGTAAAATTTATGTCATTTGGTATTATGTATATAAAGAAGTTAATGAATCCAGCTGTATCAGTTACCTGTGTGTGCTTGTGGATTTAATTTTTTAAAGAAACTCTGATAAAAGATGTTAGGATAGGTGTGTGTGGAATGAGGGAGAGAGGGGCTGCTGAGGTTTATTTACTTACAGGGGGTCCTCCATTTACAACCATTTGAAATTACAGTGGCACTGAATAAAGTACCTTATGACCAGTCCTCACCTCTATGACCGATCCTCACTTCTATGACCATCATAGCATCTCCACAGTCAGGGAATCAAAATTCAGGTGATTGGCAAACCATCCTGTATTTACGATGGTCGCAGCATCTTGGGGTTTTTGATCACCATTTGAGACTTTCCCAGAGGGCTTCTCACAAAGCCAATGATGAGGGAAGCCAGGTTTGCTGAACAGTTACACGATTCACTTAAGAACAGCAGCGATTCGCTTAACAACCGTGGCGAAAGAAGTCATAAAAATTGGGCAATGCTCACTTAATAACCCCCTTGTGCTTAGCAATGGAAATTCTGGTTGTAAGTCAAGCACAATATTCATTCATTCATTCATCAATTCCTATCCTACCTTTCCTCCTGTTGGCATTTCAATTTCTACTGGTTGACAAGATAAGCCTACACCAGTAATGGCTAACCTTTTCCAGACCGAGTGCCCAAAGCGCATGCACGTGCTTGCGAATGCGCATGTGCACGACCGAACCCCTAAGATGCAATGCACGTGCAGCCCCTGTGCATGCACCCCGCCCCCCCATGCATAAGTGCACGCCCCCTGCATGTGCCTGCCTTCCTGCGCAGGCATGCACAGCTCCCCCGCTCCCCATTGCATGCAGTTGTGCCCCCGCATGTGTCCCACCTTCCCCCGCATGCGCGCACGGCCCCCACGCATGCATGGCAGTGACCCGAAGACCAGCTGGCTGATGGGAGGCGTGTGCGTATGCGCAGCAGAGCTGAACAGGAGCGACGGCTCGCATGCCATCAGAGAGGGCGCTGCATGCTACCTCTGGCACACGTGCCAGAGGTTCACCATCATCGGCCTACACTAACCAGCTGCCTTCCACAGATGTTTAAATAACCACCCAAAACCTGTGTGAACAATCCTCCAATTTGGGACTTGCAGATCCAGAGTTGAGAAAAATCTGTGGTGGCAATTAGAACTTCTCACCTGTTCTGACATTTGGCGCCTTCGTTTCGCCCATCGAAGTCTCATAATCTTGGTGCACATCTGGCCTCTCTCTCTGGGTCGGTTCCTCTGATCTTTCTGCCTTGTCCTCCGATTCTACTGAGGCCTCCTGAGCTTTTGGGAGGCTATGACTGACTCGTGAAGCTTCCTGCACTTGAAAAAGAGACGGAATTACGGAATATCCAGAAGGATATCTTGGTTGAGCAGTCTATTCTAATTAAACAGTGTGACTTCCAAAAATGGATCGATTTTAATAAAAGCATTGGCCAAAATATTTCTGCTTTTATCTCTAGCACAGAATTCTTATTAGAAGTCATCGATTGCCAGCACGAGAAAGGCCTGGGCCAGATTTTAATTTTTGTAATATGCATTTTATTAAATATTTATTTTCCCTTAATATAAAATACAAATAGAGATAAAGACAATGGACTTGGGCCAGATTTTAAAGCAGCTTCATATCTGGTCACTTGTGGTAAGAAAGAATTGGCAGCCAACTATGAAACAGGCAACTTTTAAAAAATCTTTACTCAGTCCCTAATTTAATTCTAGGAGTTGAAGCCCACGCATCTTAAAGTTGCCAAGGTTTAGGATATAATTTTATTGCTTATCAGGTTAGTTGGGTAATGAAACATCTGTAAGCAAACCACCAAATTCAGAAGCATCAGGGACTCCATGTATAGGTAACTAACATTAAAACTCCACCTTAGGGCCTCTTTACAATGGGCAATGTAGAGATGCAGTTAATGTTATCATTTAAACAGATGCAAAATGTTGATATTTTAAAACTTATCAAAACTTTTGCTATTTAAAAAGCTTCTTGGAAAAGGACATACCTCAGTATCTTTTTCCTGGGCAACTTCTGTGGAAGATTTTTTGGTCCAGAGTGATCCTACAGTTGTATACATTTTATGAGTCGCAGCATAAACTTTGCTACCTGTAACCTGGTTTAACGTGAAATGTGTTATTCAATTGAGCAACAGACACAAGGTGGTGATTTTATTTTATTTTTTAATGAATAGGACAATTCGGAGAGTGGAAGAAAATCCTGCTAATTCTGAATGGCAGTTTATTTGAAATTTGGCCCCTGGAGTTTAAAAAAAAAAAGTCAACCGGCAGCAACACTCTTAAACTGAAATAAAATGTTTATATACCGTATTTTTCAGAATATAAGATGCACCGGAGTATAAGACGCACGTTAGTTTTTGGGGAGGAAAATAAGAAACAAGCTGATTGGCAGGTGGATCGCCTCCCGGAATACCCCCAATCAGCTGTTCTGAGAGGTGAATTTTAGCAACAGGTTCCTTGGTTGTGAGCTCTGTGCCTTGCTTTTTTTTGTTTGTTTTTTTTTCTGCCTCTGAAACTTCTGAAACTCTGTTTGGAGGCTTTTTTTCTGAAGCTCCGTTTCAGAGCTTTTTTCAGCCTCTGAAACCTCCGTTTGAGAAGCTGGACGGGCCTACATTTGGAGTATAAGCCTCACCCAGATTTTCACCCCCTTTTTACTCCGAAAAATATGGTGTATGTATGTATGTATGTATATGTATGTATGTATGTATGTATGTATGTATGTGTATATATATATATATATATATATCCCTAAATATGAACTTTAAAAGGAACTTACCTTAGCAACAATCACCGACTGTGCTGGGTAGCAAAGAGATATACCTAGTGAGCCAAGGCACAAGGGATACGCGATTTTCTTGAATCGAGATCCTGTAAGAAACAAAGCTCAACTGAGAATACACAGAGCACCACTAACATGAAGTTTCAAGACCAGTTTCCTGATAAATCACTTATTTTGTTACATAATTGATTTGCTTTCCTAGAGTAAACTGACCCTCACACTGGCCAAGTTCTGTTGTGTCCCATCGGCTGCCAGCAGAGTTAGCTGCCGAGTCAGATGAGGAGGAGGTTGAGGGAGGGCCTGGGCCAGTTTAGGAATCTTTGGAAGGCTCTGATAAGGAAACAGCACCAGAAGCCTGGGCCTTCCGTCCTCCCCCAGGTGGAGAGGCAGATGTCTTCAGGGCCTGAGCTAAGTGAGGGGGAGGAACAGATGGGGCCCATCCCAGATGTGCATATGCTCAGAGAGGAGAGGAGACCAACGGAAAGCAATAAGCCGGCCCTCAGAGAAAAGCAGATGTAGACCCTAGCCATCCCCTCCCTGGCTGGAAAATAAGTAGGAAGGGTTTGGGAGGGGCCAGTTGTCGTAGACAAGCATTCGTTTCTAGTACACAACAAGCAATTCATATTCCTTGGCCAAACCCAGGTTTGTTGGGATTACGTACATTTGAGTTTTTGTTTATCCACATGAATAAAAGACTGTTACTGCCCTGTTATTAAAAAGGAGGTTGTTTTACTCACGAGTAATCGACTTACCGTTACTGTATTTTTCGGACTATAAGATGCACCTGACTATAAAATGCACCTAAATTTAGAAGAGGAAAACAACAAAAAAAAGTGTTTGGCCTTCACACGCCCCATTTTCGGCCCTTTTTTTGGCCCTTTTTTGAGGCTTTTTTTGGCCCGTTTTGGGGGCTTTTTCCAGCTCGTTTTTGAGGTGTTTTTGGCCCATTTTCCAGGCTTTTTTCAGCCTGTTTTGAGCCCTTTTTTTGGCTTGTTTTCGAGGCTTTTTTCTGGCCAAAAAATGGGCCAAAAAAGCCTCAAAAACGGGCTGAAAAAAGCCCCCAAAATGGGCCAAAAAAAAAAAAGCCTTGTAAACAGGCCAAAAAAGGTCTCAAAACAGTCCAAAAAAAAGCCTCAAAAACGGACCAAAAAAGCCTAAAAAATGGGCCACAAAGCCTCAAAGAGGCTGAAAAAAGCTCTGAAAATGGGTCAAAAAAGGCCTGAAAAAGGCAGAAAAAAAAAAAACGGGGCGTACAGAGGCCAAAAAACAGCTGGTGGGTGAGTGGGTCTTTGGCAATATTCAGTCTATAAGACGCACAGACATTTTCACCCCCTTTTGGGAGACAAAAAAGTGCATTTTATAGTCCGAAAAATACAGTACTTGTGAAGGCTGGGTCAGAACAAGTTGTCTAGGTTTGCACATCAGGCTCAGCCACCAAAAACTAACCAAGTCAACACTACTTGAGAACTAACGGAGCCTATTCAGTTCGCTCAAGATTCAGCAGCCGTGCAGTGCTTAAGATGCAGAAGTACAATGGTATTTTTGAAGCAAGGGGTTGCACCTCTAAAATTTGCTGGCAACTCTTTAAAGCAGCTGCATCTTTTCCTCTTGTCCACAGCTGCAGCTTCAAAAGCTGTAGGTAAAAAGATTAATTTAACCTGGAGTGGGGTATCCCCACAGCGCAGTCAAAAAAAGCCAAGATGGAGTCGTGATAGTGTGCTTTTTTTTTTTTTTTTTTGCTTTTTAATTTATATGCCGCTCTTCTCCAGAGACTCAGGGCGGCTTACAATGCGTTAAGCAATAGCCTTCATACTTTTGTATATTTATACAAAGTCAGCTTATTGCCCCCACAATCTGGGTCCTTGGTGTGATCCATGTTCTGCCCGTTTTTTTATGTCCGTCACATAGACGGCAAAGCTACCATCACACTTTCACCATTGCCATCTTGACTATTGTTAACCACACCCTTGCAGATACTGGCTGTAGGTTAAGAATAAATTCAGCACAGCAACAGAGATCATTTTAATAAGTAAGTACAGTTTTTCTAATCATCTGGAATCGTTTCCTTCCCCATAATTGTAGTGTTGTAACAATAAGCATTATCTTACCTTTTCTGGCTAGGACTATTCCGGTCAATCCTGAAACTGTGATCACACCAACTTTAGGGAGAAATTCTGGGGGAGGATTCTTCAGGTAAACATACGCATCTTTAAGATAAGCAAGACAATCTTGGTTATTTCTTGCACAACTTCTCTTTATCTCATTGGTTATTTTCAGAAGTTGTAGTCATATGTAGGAATGGCCTTGGGAGATCAGAAAGAAGACTACAGACTACATAACGGACAGATAAGAGGCAGCTGAGCCCACAAAAGGAATATGGGCAGGGCAAGCAGCTCAGAAAGGATCCTCCCTACTTTCTCAGGAGTAAAGGAGACGGCTGGGAAATTGTACTTTCAGGCTTGCAAGAGTCTGTTAACGTATCCTTATGATAAAATTAAAGCTAGCACAGGTAATCCTAGATTTACAACTAGGGGTGAAATTCAGGAGGTTCTGGAGAACCGGTAGCGGAAATTTTGAGTAGTTTGGAGAACTGGGAAATATCACCTCTGGCTGGCCCCAGAGTGGGGTGGGAATGGAGATTTTGCAATATCCTTCCCCCAGGAGTGGGGATTTTGCAATATCCTTCCCCCAGGAGTGGGGATTTTGTAGTATCCTTCCCCTGCCATACCCACCAAGCCACACCATTCCCACCAAGCCACACCCACAGAACCGGTAGTAAAAAAAATTTGAATTTCACCACTGCTTACAACCATTCATTCCGTGATTGTTCGAAGTTACAACAGCACTGAAATAAGTGACTTATGACTGTTTTTCACACTTACGACTGTTGCAGCATTCCCCATGATCACATGATCAAAACTGGGGCACTTGGCAACTGGCACATATTTATGATATAATAGTTGCAGTCATCATTTTTTTTGCAACTTTCTGATGAACAGAGTCAATGGAGAAGCCAGATTCACTTAACAACCATGTCAACCTTGAAGCTGACCTGACCGAAGCCATCTTGGCCACAATGGAGCTGAGGGATAGGGAGGGGGAGATTAGAGATCGCTGTGGTTTGTGGTTAAAACAAAATACTTTCTCTTGGGAACCAAGGTCGTTCTCACACCTGGCCGAAGGAAGGAGGAGTGATGTCCCCAGACCAGCAGACACTGCCTTGATTGGGCCATGTGACTGACTGTTTGGGGTTGAGGGGAAAATCTTTACTTTTAATTAGGTGAAAACAAGAGCCTTGGTACTACAGGGGTTTAAGGCACCCTGTTATTAAGCTTATTAAGACCAGCTGCCTGCAATTACTGCAGGGTTCGAATCTCGCCAAGGCTCAAGGTTGACTCAGCCTTCCATCCTTTCTAAGATAGGTGAAATGAGGACCCAATCTGTGGGGGCAATAAGCTGACTTTGTATAAATATACAAAAGGATGAAGGCTATTGCTGAGCACATTGTAAGCCGCCCTGAGTCTTCGGAGAAGGGCGGCATATAAATCAAATTAAAAAAAAAAACCAAAAAAAAAAAACCGCGGGAACCTTCAGAGTTGGTTTTCACCAGATATGTGCCCATATGATATACCTAATAAAGCTATTCTTTGAGGAATCTACCTGCCTCGGAGTTTTGTTTGCTATGGGTGTATTACTTGGAACCCTGACACACTGCAGTGATTCACTTAAAAACTGTGGCAAGAAAGGTCGTAAAATGGAGCAAAACTCAAGTTAACCAATGTCTCGTTTAGCAACAGAAATTTGGGGCTCGACTGTGGTCGTAAGTCAAGGACTACCTCTACTTATGGATGTGCTTTTTGTTTGGGCTGCCTTACAGGTACACAAAACACAAGAAAGGTGCAAAGTGCTCTACTGACACACCCACCTTTTCCAAACTGGAGGGAAGTCGTGACTCCACTTTTGACGAAGAGGTAAGCATCCTGTAGAAACAAAAACAAAAATCATTGTTTGTTTTTTAAATCATTGTGGGTTTGTTTGTTTTTTTAAAATCCCACTGGCAGATATGAAGGCAGCTTCACAGAAAGGAGAGACGGCTGGGAAAAAAAATACTCTTTGTTTTTATGTACTATGCAATATGTAAACCCATCCCAGTGTACGTGAACTGCAATTAGAAAGCGATGCATACATGGGATGACAAAGTGATGAGAAATTGCCTTCACAGTAAGGCTGCCCTTTTGTTCTTGTGGTGCGATTCAACTGGCAGCTTTTATGGGATGACACTGACACGCACCCACACAAATCACTGCTTCCCATTGTCGTCCCCCCCAGGTATTCATGGACAGAATGGGGTAAATCACGTCACTTAATGCAGAGGTCCTGAGATTACAATTCTCTGAATTTCCAGGGCACAAAGTCAAAGACTTACGAAATCCAAACACAAAACAGCCAAAGAACTGGTAAGAATTTCCCCTATTGTTTTGGACATCAAGAGTGCATATATATGTGGTGTGCCTATGCCTATGCATTGCTTATTAAGATTTATTTGTATTACGATCCAAGTTCTCAGCAATTAAGAATGACCATATGGCAGCGAACAATATACACACAGCCCCTCTCTCTCTTTCTTGCTATGCATCTGCAGGACAATTTCAGTTTTCATCACAGCTTGCGAGGTTTTGTTTATTTAGGGTATAACATGACAGAAAAGTAAACATATGCACACAATCTGTGTAATTATATACAAAACTTCTACATGGGTACAGCAGTGGCCTCATAACTGGGTATCCAATTCAGCTATTGGAATATAAAGAATTGCAATCCACGTCAAGGATGTCACTGAGTTATAATCTCTCTCCTCCAACTATTAATTCAACTACCAATCAGAATCTCTTCTCTATATCCATAGAACTACAGTTTGCAAGGTAAGAATTTTATATTAAACACAATTTTGGGTTCACCCTACCAGATGTCATTATCCAACAAGCTCAGGATTTTCATGATAATTTAGAGGACAAAATGATAGGCACAGAAAAAAAAAAATAGGGAAATGACTTATTTGAGAACGTCTCCACTCACAAGGGAGAAACATCTTAAGTGCAAAAACCCAACAGACTTGTTAAGAGTTGTGGTCAAGAGATATTTAATCTGCTGTCAACTTGCAAAGCATCCTTGGCCTGCTCTCGAGTTGCCATAGGTAAGGGGGATGGGAAAACGGCGAAGCAGCATGGCGGCCAAAAACAAAAGCACATTCCAGACATCTCTCTCAAGGCTGTCTCCCAGGGTTACCCACAGCGGCCGGAGGGGAGTGATCTCTACAACCCGCAAAATTGCTCTGTTGGCGAATGTGACTGATGACACATTAATCAGTGGGGGGTGGGGGGAACCAGGGTCAAGTCTGGGCCATAAATTACGTGGGGTCAGAGTTGGCTTCACTTGGAACGTGCCGACATGAAGCTCCTAATAAATAATTGGATTTCTTTATTTTGGCTCAAGGCTCATGATTTAATTAGAGCATCTGTCGGAACCCTGACATCTGCATCTCACAGGCTGTTTTGATTTCCAACATGCTTCCCCTCCACTCCTTCTCCAACAGGGTTGTGACTGAATCTTTTGAAATGTATTATTTCTGTACCTAAATCAAGAAGCCTGCTTGTGTTCTCACCTTGCAGTTCTTTAGGTAATGACTTGTTGTCTTTCTTACGGATGAAATCCTGGTTTGCAGCCGGCCGGGTTTTTCGTCAACGTAACGTGATTCCAGAGGTGGGGCGCTGTAAATGGGAAGCTGCAAAAAAGGGGCAGATGGTGACCATGGGCGTGTTCTGACCTAGGCTTCCTGATATAGTAAATAGCACACAATTAGTCCCGAAATCCCCTTTTATTTTAACGGCTGTGAATTCCTTTCATTCACAGCACATGCTGAATCACCAAGAGTTGATAAATAGTCCAACAGAAGTCTGCCACAGTCCTTCAGATAAGGCTAGTAAACACCCACCTTTATCTTTTTTGACACGCTGCCAAATACCTAACTGGCAATTGTAATCTTCGCAGGAAAAGCTTCGCTACACAACACGAAACCCATAATGATCTTACGAATCTCACCTGATGTGCTCTAATCTGGCGAGATTTCTGTTCTCCTTCGGCTGCGTCAAGTGCATGAGTAGAAGTCCATGCTAGGACTGTGGGAAGAGCTGCCCATTTGGTGACCTGCTGTCACAAGCAGAAGCCAAGAGAAATTAAGAAACAAATTCAATACCTCCAGGAAAGTAGCTTTTGTTCCTCAACATTCATTTTAACATCAAGAAAACTGTTACGCCCACATCTCTCTTTAAACTGCGAATGCTGGTTTATCCATTTTTAAACAATGACCCTTTAATCCCTTGTTTTCGGATGGAGTTGGGGCGACGGAGTGGAGCCGAGCATTTACTGGCCGGATGCCCTTCCTGATGCCTACGTGGAGTTCACAGCAGATATTTTCTCTTTGCACCTCGATAAGAGATGCATCTGCCGCTGCCTAGGATTGAATTCTCAACCTAGTGAGTGTCTTCACCTCTAGGCCACTCTTGCCACTCAAATGCTGGTTTATTCATGATTAGCAGGCTAGGAAGCTGATTTATGAGGCAAACTGGATGGGAGGGGGGGGAGTTTAAAAAACAAAAGTCAAACTACAAATGTAAAATAGCACGAGTGGATTGGATATGCACTGGGGTGATCAGCTGTGAAAGGAAAAAGAAGGAAAAAGAGGGAAGAGGAAGGAAGGAAGGAAGGAAGGAAGAAGGAAGGAAGGAAGGAAGGAGAAAGAAAGAAAGAAAGAAAGAAAGAAAGAAAGAAAGAAAGAAAGAAAAGAAAGAAAGAAAGAAAGAAAGAAAGAAAGAAAGAAAGAAAGAAAGAAAGAAATAAAGAAGGTACAGGAAAGGACAGGAAGGACCATACATTGGATTTAAGGTGAAGGTCTCTTTCTAGGCTGGAGAAATGCGACAATATATGAAGGCATTATTTATTTACTTGCTAGGCTTAATATCCTGCTTTCTTATATGAGATTAAGGCAACATGCTTGGTGGTCCTATAATCCTGTTTCCCACAATACTCCAGTGAGGTAGGTTGAAGTGAGCGCACAATCACCTGGGGGGGGGGTGTTTCTAAGTTCAGGTTTTGGGTCTCTGCAGGACCAGTCCAACATCTTAGGTAAAGGTAAAGGTTCCCCTTGCACATATGTGCTAGTCGTTCCCGACTCTAGAGGGAAGTGGCTTATCTCCGTTTCAAAGCCGAAGAGCCAGCGCTGTCCGAAGATGTCTCCGTGGTCATGTGGCCGACATGACTAAACGTCAAAGGTGCACGGAATGCTGTTACCTTCTCACCAAAGGTGGTCCCTATTTTTCTACTTGCATTTTTTACGTGCTTTCGAACTGCTAGGTAGGCAGAAGCTGAGACAGGTAACGGGAGCTCACCCTGCTACGCGGTGCTAGGGATTCGAACGGCTGAACTGCCAACCTTTCGATCGACAAGCTCAGCGCCTTAGCCATGAGCCACCGCGTCCCTTTTGGTCTTTAAGACTTCGAAAAACAGATCACTTGGTAAAATAATAGGAATTGTCCTCCAGGAATCCAGATACAACAGCGTCTTAGCCACTGAGCCACCACGTCCCTCATACAGTGGAAAAACTTGCCTGCAGAAGTTGTGAATGTTCCAACACTGGAAGTTTTTAAGATGTTGGATAACCATTTTATTTATTTATTTATTTATATGCCGCCCTTCTCCGGAGACTCAGGGCGGCTTACAATGCGTTAAGCAATAGCCTTCAGACTTTTGTATATTTATACAAAGTCAGCTTATTGCCCCCACAATCTGGGTCCTCATTTCACCTACCTTAGAAAGGATGGAAGGCTGAGTCAACCTTGAGCCTGGCGAGATTCGATCTTACTTTAATTGCAGACAGCTGGTCTTAAATTACAGTGCTTCTATCTGTTGAGCTAAACCAGGCTGAGCTGAAGTGATGTAGGGTTTCCTGCCTAAGCAGGGGTTGGACTAGAAGACCTCCAAGATCCCTTCCAACTCTGTTATTCTATTCTATTCTAGATTCCACAAAAGCACTAGAAGCATTTGTAACAAGCACTGGGACTGATACACATTTAAATAAGTTTCTGATTCTTATTCTTTTTTGTTTTTTGCTACTGCTGGCACAAAACCAAGTGATTAACAAAGGGGATGCATCGTTTACCAGGAAAAAAAAAAGTTTGTACATCTGAAATGTATATGATGTCCTGTCAGACATCAGTACAGGCATTTTAAACAAATAATCTGGTAAACTGCATGTTTGAGAAAAGATTCAAAAGGAAAATACCTAAAACAGGGTGTCAAACTCAAGCCCCAGGTGCTGGATCCAGCTCGCGGGGTACTTAGATCTGGCCCATGGGGCCATCCTGGAAACAGCGAAGGACGGAGCTCAGGAACGCTTGGGCCGCCACAGGTGCCCCCAACATGAGTGAATCGAGCTGGCCACGCCTACCCTGGCCACGCCCCCCAAGTTCAAACACAACCCTGATGTGGCCCTCAATGAAATTGAGTTTGACACCCCTGAGCTAGAAGATTCAAAACACAGGATGGCATCTTGAAAACACCTTATCACTGAAAACAGGAACCTGTGGAATATTGATTCAAGAATGCCCAATGCTAATTTTGAGTTTTAAAACAAATCAGCAGAATAGGGCTCTAGTTTGACACATGGTTATAACCTTTCCTTGATGAGCAGCAACCACTGCCTTTCTACATAATAAAATACGAATTCTTAAGAGATTCCCTCAGCCCCAGGCTTGTCAAAACAGAGACAGAGCTAGAGAAAAGCTGCAGGAAAAAGCGCCTAGAATGACAAGGTGCTAATTAACACAGATATTTGGGGATTGTGTGTTCTATCATCAATATCACAATGGTTGTGAGAGGTCACATCAAACGTTTAAACTCTGAAGAGTCCAAGACCAAATTGTACTTTTTATACCGTAGTCTTATTGTCTCATTTTACATTCTACACAAAGTATCTGGTGCAAGTGATCCACAAAATAGACTGAATTCTAAATTTTAAAAGCAACTTTCCCCAATCTGGTACAATGGTACTATGGTAGTCCCTTCACTATTTGGGCTATACCGAATACATTGAAGAGACTGGAGAAAAAAATTAGATATTGCAAAAGCCAATTGTTTTTGTTGAAAGAAATGATATGAACACCAGGGTGGATAAAAATCAATGATTTTTTTTTAAAAAAATCAAAAAAATCAGATTTTTTTTTATTTAAATCGGATTTTTTTTATTTTTATCAAATTTATTTTAATAAAAAACATTTGGGGTAATAATCTATCGTAAGATAGTTTTCTATTTAAGATACATAAATAATTTAGTTTATTCAGCATGAAATGGAGCTGAGTTATGTAGCATGAGGCTGTATATTCTGCAACACTGGGACCATCGGTGAGTCAACAGCGGGTCAAAGGAGTAGCAGAGATGACAGTTGCTCTTTAAAAATTATGATTTAAATCGAGTTGATTTAAATCAAGCCTTTTTACTAGTGATTTAAATCATGATTTAAATTGTGATTTAAATCAACTCGATTTAAATCAAATCCACCCTGATGAACACGGATGTGAATGCTTGAACAGCAAATTCTGCACTTGTTTTTTTTAAATGCTCACTATACACAATTTCACAGCTGGGGATTTCCTGGGAGTTGAAGTCGCACACTTCAAGTAGCCAACGTTGAAAAAAACCTGGTGGAAGGGGTTTCCAGCGTCAATGTGGTTTTGCTAGCCTCACAACATCTCCCAACCTGGTGTCTCCCAGCCATGCTTCACTGCAACTCCCATGGTCAACAGTATCAGGTTGGGGAAGATGGGATGTATAATCTGGAAAGCACCAAGCGGGTGAAGGATATGCTAAAAGCTCAGACTGCCCAAAGAGCTGCTCATAAGAGTTCTACAGAGGAATTATTGAGTCTGTCATCTGCACCTCTACAACTCTCTGGTTTGGCTCTGCAACCCAACAAGACAGACACAGACTTCAGAGGATAATTAAAACTGCAGAAAAAACAATTGCTACCAACCTGCCTTCCATGGAGGACCTGGATATTGCACAAGTCAAAAAGAGGGCGGGGAAAATATTTACAGACCCCTCGCATCCTGGGCATAAACTGTTTCAACCTCAAAACAACGCTATAGAGCACTGCACACCAGAATAACTAGACACAAGAACAGCTTTTTCCCGAATGCCATCATTCTGCTAAACAAATAATTCCCTCAACACTGTCATACTATTCACTAAGTCTGCATTACTATTACTATTAATCTTCTCATTGTTCCTATCACCCATCTCCTCCCACTTATGACTATAACCAAATTGCTTGTATCTTTATGATTTTTATTGTTTTATTTAGTTTCCTAGTATGATTTATGTTGATTACTTAGTTAGTATCCTATGACTATCACTAATTGTTCATGATTTATCACTTGTAGCTTTTATGTACACTGAGAGCTTATATAGTGGAGAGAAATTCCTTGTTTGTCCAATCACACTTGGCCAATAAAGAATTCTATTAGCTCAGTAGAATCACATCCACTCGATTCTGGGCTTTTTTCTTTCTGGCATCCAGCAAGTTCTTGCTGCCAGGTGAGAGACTTATATAGATCTATTTCTGGCTCGTTAGCCATCTAACTAGGGCTGCAGAAAAACCTTGGTTACGTAGGAAAAACCTGGCTAGAGGAAAAACACACATAAATCCTACGAAGAAGTAAGAATATATATATATCAATCATACATATATATACTTCTACCCTCAAAAAGATGCTATAGGGCACTGCACAACAGAACAACTAGACACAAGGACAGTTTTTTCCCGAATGCCATCACTCTGCTTAACAACTAATTCCCACAACACTGTCAAATAAGACTGTATTACTATTATTCTTCTCTTCCTTACCGGTATCTATCTCTTCCCACTTATTACTATAACCATGTCACTTGTATCTTTCCATTATATTGTTTCTATTTGTATCTTTCCATTATATTGTTTTTATTTGTAACTTTCCATTATATTGTTTTTATTTGTTTCCTAGTACGATTTGATAGCTGTTTAGTAACCTTGACTATCACTAAGTGTTGTATCTTTTTATTCTCGATGAATGCATTTTATTCTCCTTATGTACACTGAGAGCCTATGCACCAAAGACAAATTCCTTGTGTGTCCAATCACACTTGGCCAATAAAAGAATTCTATTCTATTAGGGAGTGCAGTTTGGCCAGGAATCTCAGAAACATCCCAAGGATGTTGGGTTACATCTGGAGGCAGCATCAGTGGGATTTCACAATGGAAGGGCATTCTGCACATGCTCCGTTGCCCAAGATCTTCAGGAACGCCCAAAACAAGAATTACCAATGGAGCCAAGCTTGGGAAGAGATGCAAAGGAACCAGCTTTGCCCACCCTTCCTCATCCGTTGCCCTGCAACTCTTATTTCTTTCACCTCCCCACATTCAGAGAAGGAAGGCGCGATGACTGCAGCAGGGCAAATAGGACAAATCCCTCTGCACATGCTCAGAGGTCCACTCGCCTTTTCCATCCCCTCCTCCCCTTTGGGGGCCTCTTTTTTGCAGGGCAAAGTTCCAGTTTCGTGGCTGGCGGGGAGAGAAGTGCGAAAGCTCAGAAAGGGGCGCAGCTGGCTGACTCAATGACCCCGCAGGACAAGGGAATTCTGCACATGCTCAGAGGCACCCTTTGCAACCTAGAGCCACTGTTTTCAGTTGAAAAGCAGGAAAGGGCTCCCCTTAACGCTGGGAGGCCCCGTCGTGGATCCCGAAACGAAGGAAGGAAAGGGGGAAAAAAGGGGGGTTTCTAGCAGCCTCGAAAGTCGCCGGAATTGGAGACCGGAGAGGCGCGACGCAGCCACTCACCTTGGCCGCCATTTTGGCTCCACCTCTTCGCGTGGGGAAGCGCCCAACCCGGAAGAGGGCGGAGCTACAGGAAAGCTGGCCTAGGATTGGCGGAGCGGAGAAGTGGCGTCGGAGGGACGTCACCCGGTGTTGGTTTTTTTTTTTTTTTTCGCGGAAGAGTTTCCCGCGCGGGACTACAGCTCCCATGATCCCCCAGGAGCATGGTTTTTCAACTGCTGTGAGGAGGCTTTAAAACCGTTTTTTACAGCCTTTGGCAAATTTAAGAAATGTGTGGACTCCAACTCCCAGAATTCCTAGCCAGCACTGGGAGATGGGGAATTCTGGGAGTTGGAGTCCACGTCTCTTAAAAGTTGCCCAGATTGAAATATACTGGGCTAAAATAAGGTTCTAGTCCCTGGTATGTGAATAGGAGTTTTTTTTTTTTAAAGAAAGTTTTATTGCCCCCTCCCCATTCACCCACATCTTTTTTGAACAGAGTATTGGCCATATCTTATCTTATACAATTAATCAAATTCAAATACATTTTACTCAATTACAGTTTTTGCCAAAATCTCCCCCCCCCTTTTTTATCATGTCTCAATATTTCTATGCTTACTTACATAAACAACATCTTCATTTGCCCTTAAATTCTAATTTTTGCCATTTATTCATATTTCTTCTCTTTTATTCTTTAAACAATTCATTCTTTATTTTATTTATTTATTTATTTATTTATTCCTTCCTTCCTTCCTTCCTTCCTTCCTTCCTTCCTTCCTTCCTTCCTTCCTTCCTTCCTTCCTTCCTTCCAATTTATATACCACCCTTCTCCCTGAGGACTCAGGGCGGTGTACAGCCAGAATTAACATGAAATACAAATATTAAAAAACAATTAAAATATATATAAATTTGGCCCTTAATATCTTTATATTTGTTCGGGGTTGCCTTTCTTCCATTTCATCTTTTTTTATTGTACAGCCATCTTTCTCCTCAAACCTACCACTTCTCTCTTTTCTTTCCTTCTTACTTTCTCTTCCCCTCCTCTTCTTCTCCTCCCTACTTCCTCTTCCTTTCTCCTTCTCCTCCTCTCTTCCTCCCTCTCTTACCCTCACTCCTACTCAGTGGTGGGATTCAAGTAATTTAACAACCGGTTCTCTGCCCTAATGATTTCTTCCAACAACCAGTTTGCCAAACTGCTCAGAAAGTTAACAACCGGTTCTCCTGAAGTGGTGCGAACCGGCTGAATCCCACCACTGATTACATATCTGGGAACAAGTCCACCCTAAAATCATGGTCTTACTTTTCAGTTGGTATGTAAATGATAGCCAGAAGGGTTCTTCTGTGGGAAGAAATATCCACCTGGTTCAGTTCCAAGCCGGGAAAAAGGCACTGGAAACATGGAGGCTGATTGGAAAGATGGTTTAATGGTGAAGCAGAACCACATAGGTGGTTCTGGTGCAGCTGACCACATGGAGTTGCGAGTGGGGGGTATTTATACCTTCTCTTAGGCTTTGCACTTGAGCTTCCTGTTCCTGTGCAAGAATATGTGTTCTATTGGCTGTTGTCAGACTCCCATGGGGCCATGTACAAATCCTAGGAGTTTGTCTGAGCTAGGTTTGATTGAAGTTTGGGCTGATGCAATGAAGGCTTGTGTTGGGCAATTCCTATTGTGGTTGAGGGCTAATCCTACCTTCATTTAGATGTTGCTGCAGGGAATTTGCTTATGAATAGAGCTAGCTATTTCTTTATCTCTTAAGTGCTGACATCTGCTATGGGCTATTAAAGATGGTGGGGGGCTGCTTTCCAAGAGCATGTTTCTTCATTTCTCATCCAGTGACTATATGATTCACTCAGTGGTGGGTTGCCCCTGCTTCGCACCGGTTCTACAGAACTGGTAGTAAAACCGGCGGGAGGCTCTGCCCACCAACCCCGACGTCATCAAAATGCTTCTGCGCATGCACAGAAGAGTGTGCGGCCCTGCTCCGAACTGGTAGTAAAGGTAAGTAGAACCCACCCCTGGATTCACTTAAGAACTGTAATGATTTGTTCATCAACCATGGCAAAACAGGTTGTAAAATTGGGCATGGCTCACTTAACAACTGTCTTCTTTAGTAACAGAAATTCTGGTCTTGGTTGTCATAAATTGAGGACTACTGGAGGTAGTCCTCAACGAAACGAAACTTCCATTTCCTTCTTCAAGGACCTAAAGTGCTAAGGAAGGAAAGACGAATCTTTGAAATGCAGAGAATTCCGTTTATTGAAGTCCAATGTACAACTGAAGTTTTACAACTTTTCCCAAAACAAAAGTTACTTTTCAATTTAGGAAGAATAAATGTCCTTTTTCAATAATATACAGTCTCTATATATTTTTTAAATAAGTTAATATCTTTGAAAAAAGAGCAATATGTTCCTTTTATAATGTTGCAGTGCAACTTACAACTTACACGTCTGTGCAATGTACCATGAGGTATATGCCCAGTGAAAAACACACAGTGAATTTTATTTCCATTCATAAATTCTCATGGTCCATTCATAAATTCTCATGGTCCATTCATAAATTCTCATTGTAGACACACAAAAAGTTTAACATTTAATCTGTGGTAGAAAAAAAAAAAAGAAACGCAGCCAAGGACACACCAAAAAAATATTATTATTTCCCTCCCCACCCCCACCCCCTAGAAACAAAACCAAACGGAAGGAACATTCATTGCTTCTACAAATTGGTGATTGCTTCTTGACATAGAGCGAGGAGAATTAAAAAGACTCTTCGTGAACTTGGAAAACTTAAACCAAAAAACACAGAACAATCTGAATTATCCAGAGGTTGAAATTTAATTTTGGTGGTCTGATACTGCAATCCCATAGACGCTTACCGATGGAAACAAGATCCCATTGAGATCAATGGGGATGGACTTTAAAAGACACAAATGATGGTTTACGCCGTCCCCATTTTCAGTGGAGCTGTGGACAGAACAGATATTTTCAAACAACAAGGTGAAAAGTGTGATGGGGTTGGGTTGATTTTTTCCCCCTTGGTTTATAACTGCCTATCATCACCTTTTGAATTCTCTTTCAGAGCTTTTTAAGGAAAACAGGGCTGGAGATGCCCCATCCTTATAAGCTTTCCTTTCGTTCTTCCAGTTTATGGGAAAACTACATCCGGTGGGGGAAAAAATTCTCTCTACGAACAACATATTTATCAGTGACAAAAGACTTAGAAATGAACAAACATATCCTATAGTGGGATTAATAACAGTGCTGCCTTATCTTCAGAAGACATTGGTTCTCCGTATATATATTTTTTTCTTTTCTTTTTAAAATACAAGGCGCTCGAGAATGTTAAATTGTTGTTTGAAAACAGTCCAAGGGGAAGGTTGGCTTAAAACCTCCTATTGCTACGGAAATTGTAAGAATGTTCATTATTTACAAAAGAAAAGACTGTGGCACTCTCTTAGCACAGCCAACAAGACATTAGCATTAACCGAAGATTTTTCTGCCTCAAAAGACATTTATCTGATCTTTGGCTGGCAGGAAATCAGTCGTTATTTTAGAGAGGTTTGAAGGTGGTGGTGGAAAAAACAAACAAACCCACATGCATTATTTTCCTTGTTTTCATTCTGTGGTTTGGAAAATGTTAAATGTCACATGTATTGTTGTATACCCAAGGAAGACAACCTTACATTTAAAACAACCCACGTTTTAACCAAAAACACCCTTCTTCCATTACCACAGTTCAATTAAAAAAAAATAGATTTTGAATAATTGGCAGGGTGGAGACTCTATTCTTGAATTTACTGTTAAATAGAAATATCTTGCCTCTTGCAGGCCTGATTCCTTACTTTTTGCGTTTAGTTAAGCCATGGTTTGCTGGGACGTCCAAGTTAAGACAGCTTTCTATGGTAAATAGGGCCAAACGGTGATTTGTAAGTCATTTAGAAGGATAACCCAAGCCATGGTTGGACAAGTTGGGTATCGAAGTTAAAGCAGAGAATGATGTCCCTAACCACAGTTTAGAGGTCTAGCAAAATATGGCCATCAAAACATAGGCCATACGTTTTATGGCCAGGTTGCACCATAATAACTGAAGATATTATAAAAATATCAGTGGTCTATAAGCCCAGACAGGTGTAGAAAGTTACAGCCTCAACTTTTCTCGTTGTTCCAAGATGACAAATTGGTATAGAAACCACAGTGAAAGCATGCCTCCCTCTCTCTTACCACCTTCAATTTTCTTTAAAATGCCGATGTCTGTCTCCTGAGACATTTTAAAAAAAACAACAAAATTACAGCTTGAGAACCAGACATTTAGTACCAGCTTGTGGCTACTTCAACCCCTGAACAAACTGAAAATAAAAAAAATAAATAAAAATAAGACGACAGCCTATTTCAAAGCTCATATGCAAGTAAAGTGCGGGCCGTAGTACAATGGTGTCATACATTTTTTTTTCATACATTTAAGCACTATAGTCTTTAAAAAGCTTTCTATTTGTAAACAAACAAAAAAAAATCGTATTGATTTGCTATTTAATAAATCAGGCGAGGTTACCTATGGACCAGCAACAAATGGTGTTACGAAGCAAAGTGTTCTGGTAATACAGCTTCAGTGTCAAAGGTGGAAGGATGCTTATTTATCAGTGCAGATAGGAAGGCTGTGCACACGTTGACAATGAAGCCTGAAGAAAAGATGCTGCTGCTTTAAAGAGTCCCTTGGGACTTTTTAAAGCAGCGGTATCTTTGTTCGGGCAGACATGAAACTTTGAAAAAAGTTGGACTCAGTTCATTGGCAGAACAGCAGAGAGATGTGCTGGGCTCTTTGAAGAGGTACAAGCCAATTCTTCCTAGACGTTATGGGAGCCTGCACGACTCTAGCAAAGGGATCCCTTCTCAATTTCTCCTCCTCTTCTTAACAACTTTCAAGTCACATCTTTTGGGACAGATCGGTTCCATTTGTCGTGGCTTCTTCCCAAAGAACCAGACTAACCTAGGAGTGGTTCATTTCTTGTTCTAAGCAGCTGAGTATTTGGTTTGGTTGGGCTTAGCATGTTGCAAGAAACCAGCAATTTGCTCTTATCAACCAT